GGGCTATGGGGAGAGAGCGGGGGAGTGGGGTTGACCAGGGCCATGGGGAGAAAGTGGGGGGAGTGGCGTTGATCAGGGCTATGGGGAGAGAGCGGGGGAGTGGGGTTGATCAGGGCTATGGGGAGAGAGGGGGGGAGAGAGGGAGGGAGTGGGGTTGATCAGGGCTATGGGGAGAGAGGGGGGAGTGGGATTGATGGGCTATGGGGAGCGAGAGGGGCGAGTGGGGTTGATCAGGGCTATGGGGAGGGAGTAGGGGAGTGGGGTTGATCAGGGCTATGGGGAGAGAGGGGGAATGGGGTTAATCAGGGCTGTGGGGAGCGAGCGGGGAGTGGGGTTGATGGGCTATGGGGAGAGGGGGGGGAGAGGGGTTGATCAGGGCTATGGGGGGAGGGGGGAGTGGGGTTGCGGGGCTATGGGGAGAGGGGGGGAGGGGGGAGTGGGGTTGAGGGGCTATCGGGAGAGGGGGGAGTGGGGTTGATGGGCTATGGGGAGAGGGGGGAGGGGGGAGTGGGGTTGAGGGGCTATGGGGAGAGGGGGGGAGTGGGGTTGAGGGGCTATGGGGAGAGGGGGGAGTGGGGTTGAGGGGCTATGGGGAGAGGGGGTGAGAGTGGTTGAGGGGCTATGGGGAGAGTGGGGTTGAGGGGCTATGGGGAGAGGGGCGAGTGGGGCTGAGGGGCTATGGGGAGAGGGGGGTGGGGTTGAGGGGCTATGGGGATAGAATGGGATTGATCAGGGCTATAAGGAGAGGGGGGAGTGGGGTTGATCAGGGCTATGGGGGAGAGGGGGGGGGAGTGGGGTTGATCGAGGCTATGGGGAGAGAGGGGGGGGGAGTGGGGTTGATCAGGCCTATGGGGAGAGATGGGGGGAGTGGGGCTTATCAGGGCTATGGGGAGAGAGGGAGGAGTGGGGTTGAGGGGCTATGGGGAGAGAGGGGGGCAGTGGGGTTGAGGGGCTATGAGGAGAGAGGGGGGGATTGGGGTTGATCAGGGCTATGGGGAGAGAGCGGTGGAGTGTGGTTGATGGGCTATGGGGAGAGAGGGGTTGATCAGGGCTATGGGGGGAGGGGAGAGGGGAGGAGTGGGGTTGAGGGGCTTTGGGGAGAGGGAGGGTGTGAGCTTGAGGGGCTATGGGGAGAGGGGGGAGTGGGGTTGAGGTGCTATGGGGAGAGGGGAGGAGTGGGGTTGAGGGGCGATCGGGAGAGGGGGGGGAGTGGGGTTGATGGGCTATGGGGAGAGGGGGGGAGTGGGGAGAGGGAGGAGTGGGGTTGAGGGGCTATGGGGAGAGGGGGGCAGTGGGGTTGCGGAGCTATGGGGAGAGGGGGAGTGGGGTTGAGGTGCTATGGGGAGAGGGGAGGAGTGGGGTTGAGGGGCTTTGGGGAGAGGGAGGGTGTGAGCTTGAGGGGCTATGGGGAGAGGGGGGGAGTGGGGTTGAGGTGCTATGGGGAGAGGGGAGGAGTGGGGTTGAGGGGCTTTGGGGAGAGGGAGGGTGTGGGCTTGAGGGCTATGGGGAGAGGGGGGGGAGTGGGGTTGAGGGCTTTGGGGAGAGGGAGGGTGTGGGCTTGAGGGGCTATGGGGAGAGGGGGGAGTCGGGTTGAGGGGCTATGGGGAGAGGGGGGGAGTGTGGTTGACGGGCTATGGGGAGAAGGGGAGTGGGGTTGAGGGGCTATGGGGAGAGGGGGTTTGAGGGGCTATGGGGAGAGGGGGAGTGGGGTTGAGGTGCTATGGGGAGAGGGGAGGAGTGGGGTTGAGGGGCTTTGGGGAGAGGGGGGAGTGGGGTTGAGGGGCTATGGGGAGAGGGGGTTTGAGGGGCTATGGGGAGAGGGGGAGTGGGGTTGAGGGGCTATGGGGAGAGGGGGGGAGTGGGGTTGAGGGGCTATGGGGAGAGGGGGTTTGAGGGGCTATGGGGAGAGGGGGAGTGGGGTTGAGGGGCTTGGGGAGAGGGGGGGAGTGGGGTTGAGGGGCTATGGGGAGAGGGGTTTGAGGGGCTATGGGGAGAGGGGGGAGTGGGGTTGAGGGGCTATGGGGAGAGGGGCGAGTGGGGTTGAGGGGCTATGGGGAGAGGGGAGAGTGGGGTTGAGGGGCTATGGGGAGAGGGGGTTTGAGGGGCTATGGGGAGAGGGGGGAGTGGGGTTGAGGGCTATGGGGAGAGGGGGGAGTGGGGTTGAGGGGCTATGGGAGAGGGGGGGAGTGGGGTTGAGGTGCTATGGGGAGAGGGAGGGTGTGGGCTTGAGGGCTATGGGGAGAGGGGGTTTGAGGGCTATGGGGAGAGGGGGAGTGGGGTTGAGGTGCTATGGGGAGAGGGGGTTGAGGGGCTATGGGGAGAGGGGGTTTGAGGGGCTATGGGGAGAGGGGGGAGTGGGGTTGAGGGGCTATGGGGAGAGGGGGGGAGTGGGGTTGAGGTGCTATGGGGAGAGGGGGGAGTGGGGTTGAGGTGCTATGGGGAGAGGGGGTTTGAGGGGCTATGGGGAGAGGGGGGGAGTGGGGTTGAGGGGCTATGGGGAGAGGGGAGTGGGGTTGAGGTGCTATGGGGAGAGGGGGGTTGAGGGGCTTGGGGAGAGGGGGAGTGGGGTTGAGGTGCTATGGGGAGAGGGGTTTGAGGGGCTATGGGAGAGGGGGTTTGAGGGGCTATGGGGAGAGGGGGTTTAGGGGCTATGGGGAGAGGGGGGAGTGGGGTTAAGGGGCTATGGGGAGAGGGGGGGAGTGGGGTTGAGGTGCTATGGGGAGAGGGGGTTTGAGGGGCTATGGGGAGAGGGGGGAGTGGGGTTGATGGTGCTGTATTAATCTATAATTCCCTGATCCAGTCTCCGGGTCACCTGACCGGGGCTCCGGGTCACCTGACCGGGGCTCCGGGTCACCTGACCGGGGCTCCGGGTCACCTGATTGGTCCGACCTCGTGCTGCGGCCGTTATTTCCCGCCATTTTATTTGAACGCGCGCTGAGAGTTGAAAGTGAGTGAAAACAGAAGTGTGAAAATAGAGAAGTACGGAAAGAGAGATACGGAGTGAGAGAGAAAGTGAGTGAGAGAGAGAGAGAATGGAGAGACTGTAAAAACTTCGAAAACAGAGAGAGAATCTTCCTGTCAGTGTCTGTCCAGAGAACAGTTACACATACACTGACACCAGGAACAGCCACAATGACAGACAGACACCAGAGGTAGAAACAAGATGCTGAGACAGGGACCACAACTGGAACAGGAACAGGGACTGAGTCAGGGACTGGGACCAGGTCAGAGTCAGGAACAGAGACTGGAAATGGGTCAGGGACCAGGTCAGAGTCAGGGACAGAAACAAGGACCTGATCTGAGACAGACACTGGGACAGGAGCTGAACCTGGGCCAGAAACTAACACAAGAAACTGGAGTGGAGACTGAGACAGAAACAACAGAGACTGAGACAGAAGCAACAGAGACTGAGACAGAAACAACAGAAACTGAGACAGAAACAACAGAAACTGAGACAGAGTCAGAATCAGATTCACAGACTGAGACTGAAACCGAAACAGAGTCAGAGTCAGAGCCACATAAAATAACGAGAAAACAGCGCACAAAAATGGAAACAGGAGCAGTGTCAGGAGCATCTGCAGAAATAGGGACAAGGACACAGAAGGATTTAGAGTTGTGGATCATGGACAGAAACAAGCAGACACAGAGAAAAGGAAAGATACAAACAAGGGAGAGAAGGGACAGACACAAGAAGCAGAGACAAAGACAAGAATCGGGATCAGCAACAAGAAGCAAGGATAGAGATGAGAAGCAGACAGACACAAGAAATAAGGACAAGACAAGCAAGGACAGAGGCAAGTAGCAGACATGGATAAAGGGACATAAAGGAAAAGAAAGTTGGAAAGAGAGATGGGGAAAGAGAGAGAGGAAAAGGAACTAAGGGAAGGGACTCATCCTGCCTACCTAATCCAGAGAGTATTAGGCATGGGTTGACAAGCGGAGCTTTGGGAACCCAGAGTATGCTTTTGGGAGTGGGAGGGAAACCGTTGGACTTTAATCAGCTAAAACTGCAATGCTTGCTGAGAGCTCTATCTGGCAAGCTTAATGCTGCTTATCCAGCAAGAACAACCATACCCGTCAGGACTTTGTCTTGCACCATTAACAGGAGCTGAGTGGAAAGAATCTTGCCGATGAGCCAGTCTGCCTGGTCTGTCATCAGCAGTGCCCTGGAAAACTGTGCATCCACTTGGCTTGGGAAGTGGACTATCGAGACCACCACAGAGGATTGCACGGTTCTGACATTCCATTGTCAAGCACATCAACTGGGAGCCAGCTCAGTTCCAAGGGACTCTGATTACCTGTCCCTTAAAAAGAATATTAGAGGCAAGGAACAGAGAAAAGTAGTGCCACAAGAAGAGCAGACAAGGAACAGGAACAAGGCACACAGAAAACAAGCAACTGCAAAGACCCAAGACCATGAGCCAGACAAGGAGCAGACACTATGAGAAGTTACACAGAGCAGTGACAAGGAGCAGCTACAAGATGTATAGACAAGGAGCAATTACAAGGACCGTGTAACATGCAGCTACAGGGACCAGAGCAAATGAGCAGAGACAAGGAACAAAGACAAAGAGCAGCTATAGGAGCACAGACAAGGTGCAGTTACAAAGACCCGAAATGATATCTAGCTAAAAAAAGAAGCTCCATGGAACAGTGAGAAGGAGCAAAGACAAAGAATAGAGAAAACTAGTACCTATAGGAGCTGCGATAGGAGCAGGTACAATGAGCAACAACGAGTAGCTAGAAGGAATAGCTGAGGAGCATGGACTAGGAGTAAGTATAAGGAGTAGCTACAGGAAGCAGACAAAGGAGCAGGGACTAGGAACAGACAATGTACCACTACAGAGAGAGATGGAACAATTAATATAGAACAAACAATGACATGACAATGAATGAGCAATGAACATAGGAACAGGGGTATGCCATTAAGTCCCTCAAACCTGTTCCACTAATCTGTTAGATCATGGTTGATCTGTACCTCAACTCCAATTGCCTGCCTTTGCCCCATAATGACAAGGAGCAGAGAAAAAGAGACATAGAAAAGGGGCAGCTACAGGACAATATGCAGCTATGAGAAGAAACGACAATGAGCAGAGACGGATTAGATACAATGAGTAGAGATAACAAGCAGTAGATTCACAAAGGGAAAAAAAGCAGAGATAAGGACAAGTACAGAAAAGGTGCAAAGATGATAGCAGCTGCAAGGAATAGAGACAATGTCCAGCTTCAAAACACATTTACAGGAGCTGAGAAAATGAACAGTAAAAGGCAAGGAGTAGTAAACAAGCAGGAGACATGGAGCAGTTACAAAGAGCATAGTCAACAACGGGGATATGGACAATAAGCACGGACTGGTACAAGGAACAGACAGGAATAGAGACCAGCATCAGGGACAAGAATAGGCTGGATGCAAAGAGCTGGAACAGGGAGTTGAAATGGGGGCAATGAGCATAAACAAGGAGAAGCGACAAAGAAAAGGCGTATAACAAGGGGAAGAGACATGGTCAGAGATGGATAGAGATTAGGAAAAGAGGCAGAACAGGGGTAAGAAGGGGCTAAAGGCTCGGGGCGGTGTGTGAGGAAACAAATATGAGGGGAAGGATGGGACAGAGTAAGGCATAGAGTGGGTTGGAGTCAGACAGGCGGAGGCCGGACAGGGGTTGTCTTAAATCGCGTCAGAGATGGTGGCAGCTCCTTGTAAGTACTGAAAAGCTGTCGGCCTTTTCCTGGAATTAACTGCAGTTGGCAAACGCAGATTTTTGTACATTCCGGAGCTGAAGTTAACGAGGAACAGATGTGAGCGATGTTGAGAGACCGATAGAATCACAGAGACAGAAAGTTAGAGTACTACACCATTAGAGCAGAGACCGAGGGTCAGAGCTGCAGTGCAGCCCTCACAGTGCATTCCACCACAACATCATTCAGAAGATGTTGGAGAAACGTCCAAAAGAGAGAATCCATCCCAATTCAGGAGGCAGCGCTCCCGGACCCCTGTAACACCACAAAACCCCGAGACCGAAAGGAAACCCCGAACCAGACATAAGGAGCACAGAGAGACCAAAGAGATACGTCTGCAAGATAATTCCGGACCAGGGAGAGAGACAGTCCGGGAGGCATTCTAGGACAAGAGATAGTCCGGGAGCCAATTCCGGACCAGAGGGTTGTCCCGGGAGTCTCCGAGTCAGTCCGGGGGACACGACAATACAGGAATATCCGCGGTGGATTGGGGAATTTTACAAGTATCCGCAGATTCGCTGCCTGGTCTTGGGAAGCGGGTTTTCTTCGGAATGGCCGCGATTACTGTCATAGGAATGTTATCTTTCCTTTGGCTTTCAAACTGTGTGGGAGGAGTGCGGTACAGTCTGTACTCGGGACTCGCCAGTCGGGAGCACACTCGGCTGCAGACCCAGTCCAGCACCGCCAGCAGAGCCAGCAGCCGGCACAGGTACATACACCTCTGGTATACCGTCCTTCAAAGCACTTCACAGGATTTATTGTGAAGTAAAGTAACTATTTGTAGGCGAATGCGGCAGCTAAATTGGGCACAGCAATGAAATGTACACCATTGAATTGCAGAAAGCTGCGGAAGGAGGGTGGCTTTGAAAGGTGTGTCTTAATGGGCATCTGTGGGTTATTGCTCTGTGCAAATGGGCGTTATGCTGCACTCTGTCAGCACTGCACTGTAGTGCCAGCCTAGGCTGTGAGTTCACAGTCCAGATGTGGGGCTTGAACCCACAGTAATCTGATTCAGAGGCAAGAGTGCTGCTTCAAGACTGTTGGACGTTGCAGTGTGTAAATTGGCTGCTACAATCACCTACAAAACTGTACGCTTCACAGTGAATCCTGTGAAATGTTTTAATATGTCTCAGCGAGGTAATCAGGAGCGAATTGCAAAAATTATTAGGTTATACACAGACAATTTTGTATTTTGGTCTGACACACATGGAAATCCATCACTGTGCTTAAAACTCCAATCCGGACTGAGAGTTCCACATAGTAAACCACCTACACCCAAAAATGTCCCTGTGTCTGGAATGGAATGTAGACTCTCTCTCTTGCCCTGGAGGGGATACACCTTTTTTAAAAACTGAATTCCAAAGAATATTAGATGCAGGTTGGAGAGGGCCAAAGTTTAGGGATCCCAGAGTGTGTAATTTTTTGGGGGGCAGTGTAACTGCTACTACACTACAACTATAACTTGCATTTATATAGCGCCCTTCACGCAGCTAGGGATTCAGAGTGCTTAATAGCTGTGTAGTTTGATGCCAAGCTGGAAAGGGACGAAAGGTGACCAAAGACACAGTCAAAGTAGAAAGCTTCAGGTTTGATTTGAGACGTAGTGGCTAAATAATATTAATAATCCTTGCATTTGATATAGCACTTTTCACATCTTCTAGAGTCTCAAAGTGCTTCACAGAATATACTGTAAAGTGAATTGACTGGCTAAAACCAGTGATTGCTGTAAAATGAGGAGACGAGGGACATGCAGAAGACCTGAGCCAGCTACATGAAAGTGGTGACTAGTGGAGTGTGAGCAGATCAGGGAGGTAGGGAAGTGCCAGAGCATAAAGAAATTTGAAAGTAAGAGTGCCAGAGTGAACTGTTGGATTAACCAGCTAAAACTGGACAGCTTGCCCCTGAAAGTGCTGTCTGCAAGCCTCCAGCTGCTCCTGCACCCACAACCCAGTAGGGTTTTTTGCTTTCAGGTTAACAGGAGCTGAGTGGGAAGAATTCCTATCTCCAGTCACTAGTCTGCTTTTCTGAGTTGTGCTGATGAGGCTGGCTGACTGGTCAGCCATCAGCAGTGCCCCGGAGCACTGTGGACCCGCCTGCTAAAGGAACCGGAGTGGAGACCTCCAAAAAGGATTGACTCGATTCTGACATTCTGTTGCCAAGCATGTCACTTTGGAGCCAGTTTAGCTCCAAGAAGATCCGCTTACCTCTCTCCAAGAAGCATGGTTTAGGCTGACAATCTAGTACATTGCTACGGGTGTGCAGGATTATTGAGGTATTGTCTTTTGGATGAGAAGTTATACTGTCTGCCTGCCTGATGAAGTAGGCATTAAAGATCTCTTGGCACTACTCGAAAAAGAAGGGCATTTCTTCCGATGTCCTTATGGACAATCCCCCAGATGAAATTGGTCATTCACTTCACAGTTATTTTGAGTACCATTGCTGTTTGCAAAATGGCAGGAGTGAGTTTTTCCCCATACATATTGCACAGACACTGCACTTTAGTGTATCCTGTGAAGTGTTGTGAGACATTCCCCTGGCGTAAAAGGTATTAAATGAAATGCAAGGATTATTTTGTTTGTCATTATGTAATTTTACACACCCAGTTCTTGCCATTTTATCAAGCTATTTAGTATTCTGGCCACACTTAGAAAGTAAGTACTGCAGACAGCTCTGGACACTGCAACATAAAGGGGCTTTTTAAAGGGACATAAAGAGCCTGGAGGAGAGCAACAGGCATGATTCTCAGTGTTAGAGGAATGAGCTATGAGCTGGGCCGATAGAAAAGTGCGCAAATATTTGCCCAAAATTGCGGGGAGATTTTACAGAAAATTGTTGGTTGTTGATTGGCACTATTGAGATACATTTTACTGCTAACCTACATTTTTTCACTTCATTGATAAAAAAAACCTGAGGAAATAACACATTTTGTTGCAAAAAATATTAATTGCTTCTTAAACAAAAATTGGGTGGCCCTTTTTTGGTGTGTGGGGGTGGGGGGTGGCACACACCCTCATAGAAATACATAGACATTCACACACAGACACTCAAACACACACATATAGAAGAGATACACAGACACACTCACAAACACACACATACAGAGGAGAGAGACACTCATACAGATGCTCACAAACACAGAGAGAAAGACACTCACAACAGCGAGGTTTGTGAGTGCAGCGAAACCCATCCGCTGTTTGTGCCGCACGTGCCGTGTCCGCAGCCGCAGCCGCTCCGCCCACAGTTGAGCCTAAAACTGCATTATAGTGGGTTTGTAGCAGAATAGTGCGACCGCAACAATAGCTTAGGATACACCAAGAGATAGATTTAGAGAACAAGAGGACATAGGTTTAGAGTTGTAAAGGGGGAAATTTAGGACAGATACCGGGAAGTTTTCCTTTATTCAGAGGGGATTGAACAACTAGAACAGGGCGCCGGGAAGAGTGTCTGAATTAGGGACACTCGACTCCTTTATAAAACAGTTTGATGCAGTGATAGGAAGATGATAGGGTGGAAGAATGTGATCAAATGAGCTGAAGGGCTCCAAACTAATCTTGTGATCATAACAGGCTTTATATACAAAAAACTAACGTATAAGGGGTTGAAATGATGACTGTTTATCTGTTGTGATTGATCCAGTGAATAATGTGTTTCTTTTTCTAGGAACTGGTGTGCCTATGTGGTGACCCGAACAGTTTCCTGTCTTGTGGAGGATGGCATAGCAACTTATGTGAAACCGGAGTACCAGGCGTGCAGCTGGGGCCAGACCCCGTGTGGCCGCGCTGTCACGTGAGTCTCCCTATTCCAAAAAAAGCCACTGAGGCACTATTACGCCAATAAACCTGATTATATTGTCTGAAATCCATAATTCTGTAGAGAGGTTATGGGTTAATGAAAGGAGAAATCCTGTTATAATGTGAGGGAAAGATCCTAAGATGGTGTTTCATTCAGAATATATTATATTTAAATCACCAAATGTTTCTACACAGAAACAGGTATGTGACATATGAAGTCTGTATTGGTAGATTTTGACACCTTAACCAAGGTGCAAGCAAGTCTTATCCCGCTGTCATCCTTACATTCCACACAGTAACAAAAAAGATACAAAGAATAATTGTATAATTGGGGAAAGGGTGGGCCCACACTTTTACTCTGGAGGGCACGGAGATGGCAGATGTGCTAAATGAGGTTATTGTATCTGTGTTTACAGTAAAGAGAGATGGGGAGGTGCTGGGAGGGTTTGAAGATAATGTGGAGGAACAGCTGTTATATACAGATATCAACAAGGAAGTTTCATCACAGAGTCTGAAGGAGGAATTTAAGGACCAGTGGAAGCTATGATTAAAATCTTTCATCAGGCTTTAAAATAAGGAAGCAATCCAAGGGATTGGAGAGTGACAAATGTGATACCATCATGCTCAGCATGGCTCAGCTGGTAGCACTCTTGTGAGTTCAAGCTCCATGTTTGGGACTTTGAGCTCATAGTCTCGGCACTCCAGCCCAGTGCCATAGGTGAGTACCATTTTTCTGATGAGATGTGAAATCGCGGTCCTGTTTGGGCCTCTTTAAGTAGGACATTTAAGATCCCGAGAACTGTTCGAAAAGAGAAGGGGGTTTCTTCTGATTTTCCTGATGAACAATCCCCTAGATAAAATTGGTCATTCACTTCATGGCTGTTTGTGAGTCATTATTGTGCACATATTGGCTGCTGAGTTTGCCTACAAATTCAGTGACTACATTTTTCAACAAATTCAGACGTCCTCCAGATGCGAAAGATGCAATCAAATTCAAATGCAGGAATAAAAAAAATGTAAGATATTTGAGAAGGTACATACATTTATAATCAGTCAATCAATTAAGGAAGGGAGGGCTGCCCAAGACAAGAGCAGCAAAGATGACCCCAATGTAGAAGAATGAGCTATAAGCATTAATTAGACAAACTAGGGCTCCACAGTCTTGAGAGAAAATATCTCAGAGGGGATCTTATAGATGTGTGTATATGTATGTGTGTACATATATATATATATGTGTGTGTGTGTGTGTGTACAAACAGCCCTACCCGACTTCTATCCGTGCTCGACCGTCCCACTGCCTCCCTCTGCTCCAGCCTGCGAATCCTCTGTCAGGACCACTGTGGTAGTCGCTGCTGGCTGTCCCAACAGCAGCCACTCTGACTGCCCTATCCACCATTCTTGCTGCAAGGTTCACCTACCACGGGAGCCAACCTCTCCTCCCTGATCCACATCCCTACCCTCCCTATCAGTCCCCCCTCCTCCCCCACCTCGCCCCCACTTTCCGCCACCAACTGTCTCGTCCACATCGGTCTACAAAACGTCCATTCCCTCTCCAACAAAACACACCATCCAAGACTTAATTGTCGATGAACACAATGACATCCTCGCCCTCACTGAAACCTGGATTGCTCCAGACTACACCTTCCCCCGATAGAGGCCACACCACCCGGCTACACCTTCCATCACACGACCGAATCGCTATGGTGGCAGGGTGGCCGTCACCTCCCGATCCCCACTCGGCCTATCCCCTTACTCCTCTGGAACCTTCCCCTCCTTTGAGCACCTTACCCTTTATCACCCCTCCAACCTTACCCTCAAAATTCTCCTTATCTACCACCACCCTCCCCCCCCCCCACAAGCCCTCCCCCACCTTCATCTCCGACATCTCCATCCTCCTATCTTTCCTCTCCCTCTGCTCTGCACGCCTCCTCATCCTTGGTGATTTCACCATTCACTTCACCCCCTCCTGCTCTACCTCTGCTGACGTTTCCTCCCTTATCTCCTCCCTCAATCTCGCCCTCCACATCCACTCCGCCACTCATGTCCGCGGTTACCCCCTCGACTGGTGATCACTCGGGGCCTCACCGTCTGGGACCTCACCATCATCGACAAAGCGATCTCGGACCATCACTTCATCTCCCTCAACTCCTCAATTCCTCTCCCCACCACCACCCAACCCACTTCCATCTCATACCGCCGCTGGAAAAAAATCTCCCTCCCCCCATCACTCTCAGCTGCCTTGGAGTCAGCTGAACTCCTTCAGCTCTGGGCGTCCTCCCGCAATGACCAATCCTACCGCTCCGCCCTCGCCTCCGCTAAATCATCATTCTATTCCAAGACAATCTTGGAGGCTAAGGACAAACCCAGGCTCCTCTTCTCCATCACGAACTGGCTCCTCCACCCACCCTCTCATGCATCATCCATTGTCACCTCAAATGCCAACTGCAAAGCGATGCTGGACTTCCTCAAATCCAAAGTCGAGGGAATCCACTCATCTACTGCCACTGCATCTGCTACCTGCTCCCCATCTTCTCCTCCCACCCCGACCCCTACCCACCTCTCCCTCCACACCTTTGAACCTGTCACCCCCTCCTCTCTCATCACCACCATAACCTGTATGATACCTATCACCTGCTCCCTGGATGCCATTCCTACCCACTCCTTACCTCCCAGCTCCACCTCCTTGCCCTTTACTCACTGACATCGTTAACCTCTCCCTGGCCTCTGATACTGTTCCCACCCCTTTACAAAAACGCTGTCATCACTCGTATTCCTTAAAAAATCCTCCCTGGACCCTTCTCTACTCTCTAACTACCGCCCCATCTCCAACCTCCCCTTCCTCTCCAGGGTCCTGGAACGAGTTGTTGCTTCTCAGCTTCGCTCCTTCCTCTCCCGCCACTCCCTTCTCGAACGCCTCCAATTGGGTTTCCGTAACGCCCACAGCACAGAAACAGCCCTGGTCAAAGTGACAAATGACATTCTGTCCATCTGCGACCAGGGCTCCCTCTGCCTCCTCGTCTTCCTTGACCTCTCTGCTGCTTTCGACACCGTCGACCACTCTATCCTCATCCACCGCCTCTCCTCTCACCTCAACCTCCACGTAACTGTCTTTGATTGGCTCAGATCATACCTCTGACACCGACTGCACTTCATCTCCACAAACGGCTTCTCCTCCAGCCCCTGGACTGTCTCATGCGATGTTCCAACTCCACCCCTCCGCCTCCACCCGTGACTCCAGGACCCACTGCTATGCTGACAGGATGTCTGTCAGACATCAAGTCCTGGATGAGAGCGAACTTTCCTCAGTTGAACGTCATCAAGACCGAGGCTCTCCTGATTGGCTCCCCTCAGCGCCTCCACACCTCAGGCGCTGACAGCCTCCCCTCATCCCTGGGGCTCACTCCCCCTCACTGAGCCGGTCCGGGACCTTGGGGTCTTGATTGACCCTCAACTATCCTTTCTACCCCACATCTGCGCCATGACCGGCTCTGCCCTCCCCCACCTCAGCAATATTACCCGCTCCGACATCGTCTCACACCGCAGCCCCGAGACCCTCACACACACCTTCATTACATCGAGGCTCGACTCTGCAAACTAACTGTTTGTCGGCCTCACCAACTCCTCCCTCCACTGACTGCAGATCATCCAGAACTCTGCAGCTCCCGCACGAGGCTCCGCGACCTTATCCCCCCCATCCTCGCCCGACTCCACCGGCTTCCCATCACACAGAGGATACAGTTCAAGATCCTGGTCCTCACCTTCAAAGCCCTCCATGGTCTTGCTCTCCCCGAGCTCTGCGACCTCCTAACCCCCTACGATCCTGCCTACTCCCTCGCTCGGTGGGCTCCGGCCTGCCTCACGGCCCCGCCTCGCTCGCCCCACTATTGGCAGGCGGGCCTTGCGCCACTCTGTCCCCACCCTCCTTCCCACAGTCCCTCCGCCTCACCCCCTCCCTTGCGATCTTTAAGACCCTCCTCTTCGACCGTACTTTCGATCTCCCTGCTTCCCCACCTGCCCTCGCCACTCCGTCATCACGACCCCTAGCGCAGGTCCGTAACTCTGACGTCCTCCCAACGTGAAAGGCACTTTACAAATGTAATTTTGTTGTTGTATGTAATATATTAAATGTGATCGAAAGTGTAAACCGCCAAAATACTTTAGGATGCACTGAGGGTTCCAACTTTATGAATGTCAATCACCTGGATATAGGAATGGTGTGAGATACCATTTATAATAACAATAATCTTTGCATTTGATTTCACCATTGCCTTATCACACCTCAAAGCGCTTCACAGAATATTCTGTAAAGTGAATTGACTGTATATTTTATGGCCAAAACGCGGCAGCCAATTCCACACAGCAGTATCCTACAAAGAGTTGTGAATTGAGTGACCAAATTATTATTTATTTGAAGGAATCATTAGCCCCAGAAAGCCCATCGGTTAACAGGTAAACAGAGGCGTGTCTGTCGATTAAGGAAAATTGCCTAAGGTTTCGCCCTGCCCAGTAATCAAATCCAGGTCTTCTCACTTATGAGGCGAGTACTCTAACCAGTACGCTGTGGGACTCCACAACTAGCACCATTAGATAGGGTGCTACTGTGCAATTGCCAGTGGATGCACAGTTCAAGCTTTCCAAGAAGATACCCCTCGTGCTACTTAAATGCAAGTTGTTGTTGTTTGAGCTTTGCAATGTTGAGGATATTTTGGGGTGGAGTACTTACAGATAGAATAATTGAATATTATTGCATTTTATGTAACAACGTTTCATGTTAGGAGGACGTCTCATAGCACTTCACAAAATATTACTGTAAAGTGTAGTTACTGTGTAATTGGTGGTAAATATAGCAGCTCATTTGAGCAATATCTCACAAATGAGTTGAAGTTAATGAGTGATTTTATTTGGGAGAATTTTGGCAAGGACACTCAGATCTCAGATCTCTCGCTTGCAAAGCGAGTGCCCTAACCACTGAGCTACAGGACTCCGTAAAACTGTAAAAAGACACCAGGAGAAACTCCTTTTTATTTTCAAATGGAGCCTCAAGTTTTGCTTCTGTTATGAAAAACAAGCCTGCAAGGCATTCAACTACAGCTGATTTCACTTAGAGAACACATTCTTGTTCCTTACAGATGAGGGCTGCTGCTGTGGCCCTGTAAAGTTGTCACATTTCTGAGGTCACAAACCCTGTCATTATTCTTTTTGTATTTTAATAGGATGAGGTGTGGTATTGGGGGCTCTCACAGCATTAGTAATTATGTTTCCATCTTCCCAATACCTCACACAACTCCAGCTGGTGCACAAAGTCTGCGGACTTCTCTCACCACGGAATGTGTATGGGCTTCTTCACTACTAATTATAATGCATCACAGAAGCTCCCACATTAGAACACAGCAAATGTGTGTCAGCCTGGCTCAATTGGTAGTGGAACTTGGTATGGGTGACATAGTCACTACAGTTTACAGTATATCCTGTGAAGCACTTTGAAAAGTCCTCCTGCCAGGTAATTTCCATGTATAGGCATACATATTGTGGAAATCTCAGTCTGGCTTGGACACTCTGAAGCATGATGATGGATTTCCGCTAACCCAAAAATGTTCCTCTAAAGCTCTGTCTGTTGACAGATTGTTTCCTGTTGTCCCTCAAGTTCAAGAGTTTCAGCTTGATTGAATGTAGCTCCAGCACTTCTGCAAGATGCTTCCTCTGTACAGTCAAACGGTCCAGGAACTCCCCCATCCAGCAAAATTCCCACAACTCAGGGCCATGTTTCCTGTTATTTTAACGTGTTTAAACTTTATCAGATATACTTTATAATAACAATCCCTGCATGTGATACAGAGCCTTATCATATTGGCGAGATGCCTCAAAGTGCTTCACAGAATTTATTGTAAAGCGTTGTGACTGTATTTCTGGATGAAAACAGCAGCTGATTTGCACACAGTGATGCTCAGCCAAGAAGTGATTGAGCGATTTTATCTGGGCGTTTATTAGCCAGGACCCTGGGAGAGTCTCCCTTTTCTTTCTTTCTTTCTTTCTTTCTTTCTTTCTTTCTTTCTTTCTTTCTTTCTTTCTTTCTTTCTTTCTTTCTTTCTTTCTTTCTTTCTTTCTTTCTTTCTTTCTTTCTTTCTTTCTTTCTTTCTTTCTTTCTTTCTTTCTTTCTTTCTTTCTTTCTTTCTTTCTTTCTTTCTTTCTTTCTTTCTTTCTTTCTTCTTTCTTTCTTTCTTTCTTTCTTTCTTTCTTTCTTTCTTTCTTTCTTTCTTTCTTCTTTCTTTCTTTCTTTCTTTCTTTCTTTCTTTCTTTCTTTCTTTCTTTCTTTCTTTCTTTCTTTCTTTCTTTCTTTCTTTCTTTCTTTCTTTCTTTCTTTCTTTCTTTCTTTCTTTCTTTCTTTCGCTCTCCCACTAAAGCTCTATATTCTAATCTAATTCCCCAAGTCATTCCCCATCATGTCTGTGCTGGTGCTCACTCCCCTACAAGAGCAATTCGCCCACAAAATATGCAGTCAATTCACTTTACAGTATATTCTGCAAATCGCCTTGAGACGTCTCAAAGACGTGATAAGGCGCTATATCAAATGCAAGGATTATTATTGTTATTATTCAGGCTGCTCCTGCACACAGATCTATTTGCTGTGGCAAAGGTGGCTGCTCAGCCCAGTGAAGGGGAACCTCATTAACTCATTACAATGACTTTTTACAGTTTAAATTTTCAAATTAAGATCAAATTATAGAATGAATTCATAGAAAGTACAGTTCAGAAACAAACCATTTAGCGCATCCAGATCTTGTACTCCACACGAGTATAAGTATATTCGTAGAGTCCTGTAGCTCAGTGGTTAGAGCACTCGCTTTGCAAGTGAAAGACCTGAGTTCAATTCCAGGCAGAGGGCGAAACCTCGGGCAAGTTTCCTTACTCCACACAGAGCCTAATAATAATCCTCCAAAACCCAAAACAATAATAAATTGGTCATTTTCAATCTATGACTGTTTGTGGGACATTGCTGTGCGCAATTGGCTGCCGCGTTCGCCCACAAATATACAGTCAATTCATTTTACAGTGTGTTCTGTGAAGCGCTTTGGGACGTCCTCCCGACGTGAAAAGCGCTATATCAAATGCAAGGATTATTATTATTATATATATATATATTCTTATGTATCCCATCTTGGCGCTTGGGCGGGGTGTTCCACATCCCAATAACTGTGTGAAAATATTTCTTCTAGATTCTCCTTTTTCTTCTTCTGACCTCCAGTGACTAAGTCTCGTACCAGTGGGACTGGGTTACGGTTTAGATTGGAATAAAGTCTGAATCTAAACCCAGTGAATGTTTATAACAACAACTTTCACTGTATATACAGTGCCCTTCACAGGGACAGGGTTGGACACTGAGCAAAGGAGAAGGGGAGAAGGTTGTGGTCATAGGTGCATTCAAAGAGGTGTGATTCAAGGCTGAGCTTAAAATCAGAAAGATGGGGGGGAGATGGAGTGGTAAAGGGAGAGCGTTCCAGAGGTTAGAAGCAAAGGTTGGAACTGAAGGCTCCATCGCCGATTGTGGCACAGAGTGAAAGGGTGGGTGGAGTGGAGGAGGTGAGAGGAGTTTGGAGAGTTAAGGAGGTACCATGGGGCAGTGGGTGGATTTGTAGGTGAGGGTGAGGAGCTGCAATTAATCTGCTGGAGGGCAGTAGTTTATGCGATAGCTGTGAAAGATCTTTGGATCCTTGGATACATTTTCTCATCCTTGGATAAATTTTGAATCTTTTATTGCCTTTTTTCAGGTATCGTTCTTTCATTAAGCCGCGATACAAGGTGACCTACAAAATGGTGACTGAAATGGAATGGAGGTGCTGCCATGGGTATTCAGGAGACAATTGTAAAATTGGACCAACAGGACAAACTCAGACAACAACTCTCAGATCTTGGCCAATGCGACCTGACCCTCATCCTGGAGGAAGACATCCAGATGGCATGGGTACAGAAGGTACACATCTCTAAGGCATAGGTGTGCGGAGGCCCCTATCTCAATGTCTCTCTGTTCAGGTGGACATTAAAGGTCCCATGGAGCTATTCAGAAAGAGAAGGGAATTTTTCACAGTGTTCTGGACAATCTCTCGGATAAAAAATTAAATTAAGGGCTTCATGGCTTTTTGTGGGACACTGCTGCAAGTAAAATGGCTACTGCATTTGCCTACAAAATAAATCACGAACAAATCAGCCTCCAGCCATGAAGTGAATGAATGATTGTATCTGGGGATTGTCAGCCAGGCAATATGAGCAACTCGCTTATCTTTCTCTCAAGTCATGTGTGTCGGCTTTGCTCAGTTGTCCCACTCTGGCCTCAAGCTCCACACTTGAGCTCAGGCTAGGTTGATATTCCAGTGCAGTGTTGTGGGGAGCACTGCCTTGCAAACATTAAACCTCACTCCTGTCTGTGCCTGTTCAGGCTACATCAAATGCAAGGACTATTTTTATTTAATTATCACACTCTTCTGTCAAAATGAAGTCAAATGCTCACTCAGTCATGCTTTTCATTGCTTTTTTTGCAACAGATCCTGACAAATCCCGTCAGATGGAGGAAAAGTTCCAGAGTCTGACTGAGGAGATCCGCAAATTGCAGTTCATCATCCACGGGATGAATGGAAATTTACAGGAGGAGGTGCGGAAAGCCGTGGCCACAGCACTGAACGGGCACCAGCCTGCCGATGCTCCCACACAGATGAAGGAAACCATTAGCGAAATTCAACAGAAGCTGGACCAGATAGACAACCGGGTCAGGGAGCACAACGAGGAGCTGGATCTTCTGAATGGCTTTAGACAAGGAGAACCTGGCTTGGGAGGTGGCTCTGTGAAGGATAAGGACAGGCATTTCCACAACTTGTGCTTGTCCTGTCGCTCTGAGTTCGAAGCTATCCGTAGGCAGCAAGCCAAGGACAGACACAGGATCCAAGAACTGTCACAAAGGTTGAATGGTACTGAGCAGCGCCATGGTCACCTGCTAGAACACATGGGTGAGAGTGGCAACCACTGCTGCTCCCCAATAGAGAGCATGAGAGAGAATATAGCCGACGTGGAGAAAAAGCTAGTGACCATGTCTGAGGATGTCGTACGTTTGAATGGAAGGTTAGACAAACAGCTGGCTAGCACCTCGATGACCAACTCACCACCTGGATGGATCAACGAGCGGTTTGAAGAAATGGCAGAACGACTGAAGGATACTCAGGACTACTCTCTGTCTGCCCACAACCGTGTGCAAGAACATTGCCAAGCAGGGCTGAATGATCTGAGGCATGAATTTGGGGAGAGAATTCACAGGAACGAAGAACGACTCACTACTGTTATCTCTACACTTGGGAATGCCACTGTCGGGATAGGCCAAGAGGTGGAGAATTGGAAGAGGACAGCGGAGCGCAATCGGGAAGCCCTGCGTAACCTGACATCCATTATGCACGAGGTTGATTCCAAGCTCCAGGTCACTGTCGAGAGTTGTGCCGATATCTGTGTTCCCCCTCCCTTTACTGCTGCACCCCATCATCTGGACATCTCTCCCATGGTGAAAAGCCTCCAGAGGAAAGTGACAGAAAACGAGGATGGCATTCAGGTGGTCAACCACAAAATTGATGGCCTGACAGAGGATATGAGTTCATCCAGGGAGCAACTGGCAAAGCTGCAGCAGGAGATTGAGAAGCTCAGGCTAGAAGTACAAGCCAATGAGAGGAGCCTGAACAAAATAACCTCAGACCTTAGGGACCTCAGCAGCAAAGTGCAGAGCTCCAAAGATGATGGCTTGGCCACATGTAACTCCATCCACGAGGAGCTGCTCATGGCAAGGAATGAGACCGAATGGCGGTTTGTCACACTGATGACCGAGGTGACTGAAGCGAGGGAGCGAGCCGGCGAGGTGTGGGAGCGATGCCAAGCACCGTGCTCGGAAATCCAGCTGGAATTGGATAGGTTGAAAGAAGATGTCAGAAAATGTGAGGAGCAGCATAGGGATGTCCTGCAGAAAAGCCAAAGCTTCAACAATACTCTGAAGAGACTCGGGATGTTTGGTGGCACTTTGCCTATGGACCTGGGCTCCATGCAGGGAGAGCTCAAAGATGTCCAACTGACCTTCAACTCTTTCGAGAGCACTTTAAAGGTTTTTCAAGACTCCGTTGACCGTCATAACCACAATGTGGACCTGCTGAATGCAACATTCTCAGAAACGACTGGCAACATAAGCGCAAAGTTGAACTCAATCCAGAGCATAGTGGTGGCCCACCTGGGGCAGAGTGAGGAGAGGATGACAGGCCTTCAGAATGAGATTGACCAGCTCAGCCACCACCAGGTACAGGGGGCTGGCTGCCAGGCCTCCACTAATAGACTTCAAGAGCGTCTCACGAAGCTAGAGAAGGTGTGTGACAAACTGGATTCTGTATCCCAGAATGTGGAGAGGATCAGAGCTGGCCTGAATAACCACATCTCCAGTCTATGGAGCTGCCACCAGGAGCTCAACAAGACGCTGCTGGTACACAGCATGGTCATCGAGAGTGTGGAGAGAAGTGGGTTAGACAGCATGAATCATCGCATCAGTCACCTCAACAGCTCTGTAGCACAGCTGAACATGGAGGTGTACAATTTCACCCGGCAGCCGTTCCTTGGTGTGTAACCTCTTAACAACAACAAAATTATATTTGTATATTTCACGTCGGGAGGATGTTGCAAGGCGCTCGACAGTCAGAGTTTTGGACCTGAGCTGGGGGTCAGGATTGGGGAGGGTGGAGGGCAGCAGGGGAAGCAGGATGGTCGAAAGCATGGTCAATGAGGAGAGTCTGAGATGGGTCTTGAAGGAGGCAAGGGAGGGGGTGAGCGTAAGGACTATGGGATGGAGTTCCAGAGGGTAGGGGCAGAGTGGCAGAAGGCCTGCCCACCAATGGTGGGACGGGCGAAGTCAGGGACGTGAAGCGGAGTGAGTTGGCAGGGTGGTGGGGGATTAGGAGATCACAGAGGTAGGGGAAAACAAAGCCATGGAGGACTTTGAAGGTGAGGACTATGATCTTGAACCGTATCCTCTTGGTGGGAAGCCAGTGGAGTTGGGCAAATATGGGAGTGATAGGGTCACGGAACCTGGTGCGGGAGAGATCAAGGTTGCAGAACTCTGGATGATCTGCAGCCTATGGGAGGCTGACAAGCAAGGAGTTTGTATAGTCAAGCCTCGAGGGTTTGGATGCATTCCATGGATGGTGATGCTTTGAGTCCAAGGTGTGGAGGCGCTGATGTTGAGCCAATTAAGAGAGCCTTGGTCTTGTTGATGTTCAATTGAAGAAAGTTCGCTCTCATCCAGTACTTGATGTCTGACAGACATTCTGTCAGGACAGCAGTGGTCCTGGAGTTAAGGGTGGAGTCAGAGAGGTAGAGTTAGGTGTCATCCGCATAGATGTGGAAGTTGACGCCATGACTGCAGATGATGTCACCAAGAGGGAGCATATAGATGTTGAAGAGGAGGGGACCAAGGACAGAGCCCTGAGGAACGCATCATGAGATGGTGCGGGGGCTAGAGGAGAAGCTGTTTGTGGAGATGAAGTGGAGGCGGTGAAAGAGGTACGACCTAACCATTCAACGACAGAACCATTTGATCGTGCTGTGTACCAGCAGTGTCTTGTTGAGCTCCTCGTGGCAGCTCCATAGACTGGAAATGGGTTTATTCATGCTGGCATTGAGGTTGAGGTAAGAGAGGCGGTGGATGAGGACAGAGTGACAGAGGGAGGGTTTTTAAGGATAGGAGTGATGACAGACGTTTTTAAAGGGATGGGAAGGTCCCAGCAGATAGGGAGAGGTTTATGATGTCTATGAGTAGAGGGGCAATGAGGTGGAGCTGGAGGTAAGCAGAGGGGTAGGGATTGGGTCGAGGGTGCAGGTGGTCAATTTCATGCAGGTATTATTGGTGATGAGAGAGGAGACAGGTTCAAAGGTGTGGGTTGGGGCCTAGGTGAGAGGGGAAGATGGGGAGAAGTTAGTACACGGAAGGGCAGAGGCAGCTGAGCGGATCCCCTCAACTTTAGATTCGAGGAAGTCCAGCATTGCATCGCAGTTGGCTTTGGAGGTGAGGATGAGCGAGGTGTGAGAGTGTGGGTGAATGAGCCGGTTGGTGATGGAGAAGAGGAGCCTGGGGTTGTCCTTGGCCTCCAAGATTGTCTTGGAGTAGAACAACGATTTAGCAGAAGCAAGAGTGGAGTGGTAAGATTTGATAAGGTCCAGCCAGATCTGCCGATGGATCATTAAGTTCACAATGGAATTGGAGGCATATTTAACTAAGTCTGTTTAAACACTACCCATCCACATCAGCCAGGATATACCAGAGTAAAGTTCCATAAACATCGTCTTGTCCAGCACTGCTAGCAGTGAGAACATGAGTTATAAACTCAGAAACACTGCACTGGCTGAGCTCAGGAACACTTGGGTGGGAAGGGGACAGGGAAATACCACATAAGACAAGATTGTATTTGAGTTCCACATAAATATCTATGTCTTGTATAATTTAGGAAATGAAGGGCCCCCCGGGCTCCCGGGGCCACAAGGACCAGCCGGACCGCCAGGGCTACCAGGTACAGGAAATTCCTTGTTATCTCTTAGCCCGCGACCCCAGCATGTTACTGCAGACACTCACACACATTCAGCACATGTTCTCAGGTGTAGAGCACAGATATCTATATCCCCCCACTCTCTATCCCCCACTCAATTTCTCTCCCAATCAGCCCCATGGGTCACTATCTGCACAGCAGTTACTAAGGACACAAAGGACTGTAAGAGACCTTCTTGCCTTCCTGACAGACTGGAGTAACAGCCAGTATTATTTACGCTTTCTGCATTGTGTGATCCCAACCACTAGCTTCTGCCACTGCCCTGGGAGGACGTTCACCAGGGAGGGAGGGAGCAGAAGTTGGAATGCTGGAAATGGTCGTGGGCTGCCAGCGGGCCTGTTAGACCACACTGGTGTAGACAATGTAAACGAACCTGAAATACGTGCCATAGCCTGCTCTACCTTCCCCCACCTCCGCAACATTGCCCGTCTCTGCTATTGCCTCTTCTCTCAGTCCGTTGAGACTATCATCCACTCATTCATTACATATCAGCTTGACTACCCTAACTCCCTGTTTGTCGGCCTTCCCAACTCTTCCCTCCACAAGCTGTAGATCATTCAGAACTCTGCAGCTCGTATCCTCTCCAACACCAGGATCTGTGACCCTATCATCCCCACCCTCGCCAGGTTCCAATTGCCTGGTTTGGGGGGGGGGGGGGGGGGGTGCAGACGGTTCAAGATCCTCATCCTCTCCTTTAAGGCCTCCCCACTCCCTACCTCTGTGACCTGCTGTCTCCACATCAACCGTACGCTCCCTCTGCTCAGAGGATCTGGTCTGCTCCAAGGGCCCGCTTGGCCCATCCCAAAATCGGTGGTCTCTGCCCCCATCCTTTGGAACTATTCCAGTCCTTTCGCCTTGCTCCTTCCCTCGCCTCCTTTAAGGCACATCTCAAGAGCCTCCTCAACTGCACCTTCGGTCACCCTCCTATCAACAACGACTTGTATTTATATTGGGCCTCCACGCCAGGCAACGTCCCAGAGCGCTTAGCTCTATCCCCACCCTCCAGATCCCAACCCGCTGCCAGGTCCAAGTCCTTGATTGTCCGGCGCTTCGGGACATCCGACTGATGTGAAACAAATGTAACAAATGTTGTTGTTTCATGAATGTTTTGTCAGCCGGAGCTCAGCCAGGGGTCAGTCTGGGCTCAGCCAGGGGTCAGTCTGGGCTCAGCCAGGGGTCAGTCTGGGCTCAGCCAGGGGTCAGTCTGGGCTCAGCCAGGGGTCAGTCTGGGCTCAGCCAGGGGTCAGTCTGGGCTCAGCCAGGGGTCAGTCTGGGCTCAGCCAGGGGTCAGTCTGGGCTCAGCCAGGGGTCAGTCTGGGCTCAGCCAGGGGTCAGTCTGGGCTCAGCCAGGGGTCAGTCTGGGCTCAGCCAGGGGTCAGTCTGGGCTCAGCCAGGGGTCAGTCTGGGCTCAGCCAGGGGTCAGTCTGGGCTCAGCCAGGGGTCAGTCTGGGCTCAGCCGGGGCTCAGCCAGGGCTCAGTCTGGGCTCAGCCAGGGGTCAGTCTGGGCTCAGCCAGGGGTCAGTCTGGGCTCAGCCAGGGGTCAGTCTGGGCTCAGCCAGGGGTCAGTCTGGGCTCAGCCGGGGGTCAGTCTGGGCTCAGCCGGGGCTCAGCCAGGGGTCAGTTGCTTGCTCTTGCCTCAAAATCATAAGGTTGTGGGTTGAAGCTGAGGGTAGAGCTTCAATGTCGATGCTGGTCTTTGGATGAGACATTAAACTGAGGTACAATCTGTGTGTTCAGGTGAATATTAAAATCTTGCGGCACTGCTTGAAAAGAGAAGGGAGTTTCTCCCGGTTAAAATTATTTAATCACTTCATTGCTGTTTGCCAGGTATTGCTGTGTGTAAATTGGCTGCTGCGTTTAGCTGCAAAATAGTCACTACACTAATTATTCCTGTGAAGCACTTGAGACATCATCCTAACTGATTAGATGCTGCATCAAATGCAAGTTATAATTATATTATTGATTGTTATTTATACTGTTTATCTCCAGGTGCAAAGGGATTGCCCGGAAAGCACGGAGAGACAGGTTAGTAGTGTGATGCTGCTGGTTATCGTGTGCGTGGCTGGCCATGTGCTCACATGCTCACGTCCTGTTGCTGTGTCCTCAGGACCTGCAGGTGCAGCTGCTGAGGTTCAACGCCTCTCATTCTCTGCGGCGCTCACCGTTTCTCAGGTAGAGCCAGGAACTGTCCTCTTCAACAACGTGCTGGTGAATGACGGAGAGCATTATGACGCCACAACAGGTGTGTCACAAACATGTGAAGTCAATATCATGAATACACACTCTGCATCATGCAGGTACATATGTGTCCCAGTGCAGAGTAACAGTGTGCCTATGTTTTTCCACAATCAGGAATATTCACAGTCCCCGTCGATGGACGATACTTTCTCAGCGCAGTTCTCACTGGACACAGAACACAGAAGATCGAAGCCGTCTTGTCAAAGTCCAATGTGGGCGTGGCTAGGGTGGATTCTGGTGGTTACCAGCCAGAAGGACTGGAGAACAAACCTGTGGTGGAGACTCAACCCGTGACAGGTTCACTTGCTGTCTTCAATATCATCCTATCTCTGAGGCAAGGTGAGACAGTGTGTATCGACCTGGTGACAGGACAGTTAGCACACTCTGAGGAGCCACTTACTGTGTTTAATGGAGTTTTGCTGTATGACTCACCAACCGTGTAATTGACAGCCAGCAACTCAGCCTTGTGTAGCTCTCTTCCTGTGCTCTGAAGTAGTATAAGGATCGTAATACATTGTCCCTTTTATTTCTTTTAACACACACACACAAGAATTAGAGTGAGACATACAGTAACCGAACAAGACAGATGGATGGAGAGCAAGCAAATGACAGACAGACGGTGAGGAAACCATATAGTAGTCAAGAGACAAACCACAGAGCCCTCACACACACCTTGTACACTCAACCCCTCCCCCACACCCACCCAAGTAACCACAGGACCAGCCTACATCTTGTTGGGAACCAGAGCAAAGCCGTGAATTGCTGAGTTGTTGATGTAGTTGAGTTTTTGGAGTTACCCCTCCCTTCCTCGCCCCATCTTGTTCCAAGCGTCACTGCCTCAAATTCGCCTTTTCAACACTGAAGCTTTTTAAACTCTAGGAGTGTGTCTTCACCTGTGTTCCAGTACCACTGTCTGTACTTTGTTGCATACCCCGTCACACTTATACTAATAACAGTCTCTTCACTCACTGACTACTTTTGTTCTTATTTCAAAACTCTCACTGGAAGATTTGTTCAAGGTTAAAGGTCAAGTGTTACATTGTTGTCCATCAAAAAAATTGTTTGAGGCCTATAATTCGTTAATGGCTGAATTCCTGCCTGACTCGCTCACACTCTTGCTTCAAAGTCAGAAGGGCGTAGGTTTAAACTCCATTTCACGGACTTTGAGCTCACAGTCCGACTGACGCTTCATGTATCACTGGGGCAGTGGGGGGAAAGCACTGCATTGTCAGAGAAGACATTAACTCAAGGTCCCTGCCTGTGCCCTGTTCAAGAAGTTAAAGCTACCATGATACTGCTTGAAAAGAGAAAGGAGTTTCTCCCAATTTCCTAACCATCATTACATTGTCCCCTTCACATCGCTTATTCACTTCACACCTGTTTGTAGGATTTTAAAGCACAAAACGGCTGCCACATTCTCCTACAACAGTCACTTTTCAGTGAACTCGTAAAGTACTTTGAGAAGACCTTCTGCCATGAAAGGCTCTTTATCAAATGCAAAGATTATTGTTATGAACCACACACTGGAAAGTCAGCCCTTACACTGACCTGGGCTACTGATGCTCACTCACCGCAGTGTTTGGCACAGGAATCTATGCACATGGCCCACTACCATTCTACTAAGTCCATTCAGTTCCCACTTTGGTTCTCTAATAGAAGATGTCCACACAGAAAAATGGTGACAGAAATAGTTTGTGGTTTTATTTACATCATTTGGTTCAAATTTAAAAAGTATTTCAAGTCTACTATCTGAATTAATACAAGAATAAGGGAAAACTAGTGGCGTTTTAATGTTCAATACTCCACTGTCTGGCACAAGTGGCTGATTGAAGGTTAGAGACATTCCAGATTTTGAGAAGGAAAGGAAGAGAAGTGCCTGGGACAGTACAAGTGACCATGTCATGCACTGTGAATCGGCTATAAGAGTCCAGGGAAGACGTGCTGTAACAGGAGGATTGTGAAGACGATCAGAAGTCCACAAAGTAGTAACACAAACCAGATCGGGAAGAGTCCTGTCCAGAGAAACACACAGTGACTCTCAACATCCCAGGAACTCTCCACAGGAGCACAGAAATGTACAGAAACTTCATATCCTTCCAAGGTCTCATCACCTCCTTAATACTTACCAACTCGGCAGCTCCTTTCACTTTATAAACACCAGCCTGCTCTAAGTCCCTTGCCCTACCATTGACAAGCAAACTTTTAGTGATCGTGCCCTGCTCTTTGGAACCCCATCCTGGTCCCTCCCTCTTCTATCTCAAGGCATATCTTTTTAACTTTGGTTTTGTCATCTTTTCCCTCATCAAACCTTTGGGTCCAACCCTCAAGTCAGTAGTGCTGCCAGAACTACCGATGTGAAAAGGAAGCAAGTGTTGAATTGAAGGTGACTTACGTCTGTTGGGCAGCAGATGCAGCTTACAGCGACTGTCCACGGCCACGCTCAGCAAAGCCACTTCATTGTGTCCAAGAATCTCTCTCCCTGCAGGGCTCGTATCAGGCAGAAAAGCCAGATCAGTTACCACAATGCCGTGCGCCTCCTTTACATAGTAAACTCGCTGCAACATCAAGGGGACCAAAAATTCAGCGTCACTGGGATCACAGTTACTCACTGCAGCTCTGCTGTCATCCAATCACTGTAGCACGCAGGCACACTTCAATCTGTATAGCAAGCACACCCACACACTGATCTGTACAGCGTGTTCCCACACACTGATCGGTACAGACACTCATCTGCACATTATGCACACACACTGATCTGTACAGCATATACACACAATCTATATAGTGTGCACACACTGATCTATGTAGCCACACACACACAGATCTGTACTGCTCATATATGTGTGGGTCTACACAGAAATCTGCATAACATACGCCCTCCATGAACTGTACACCCCTTCCCCCAGTCGGAAGTACCTGTAAGGAGAAGGCGATGTAGATTGCTACCGATCCAGTAATAGTGCCAAGGCCGATAAATGTCCCCTGATCACTTAGAGGAAAAGAGAAACAGCGGTGACATTTTAATCCAGAATCATGCCAAGAGCTCCTGTCAATCAGCCAGTTAGAGAGTGCAGCAGAGACAGAGACAAAGAGTGAAGAGTGGAGTCCTGTAGCTCAGTGGTTAGCGCACTCGCCTAGTCTAGAAGAACGTGAAAAGCGCTATATCAAAAGCTAGGGTTATTATTATTATTGTTATTATTTACTATGGCTTTCTGGGGGACAGAGAGCAATGAGCAAAGGGAAAAGGATGTTTCTCCAATGAGGCAGGGGATTTGCATTTTATATACAACTAGTCGCAGGATGTCACTGCGCAAATTGTTTCCCACCTCACCCACGAAATCCAGTTGCTATGCACAGTATATCCTGTGAAGCACATTGAGATGTCCTCCAACGTGATAAGGTGCTACATCAAATGTACAAATTATTTATTATTTAAAATTGAATTAGATCTGCACATGTGGAGGAATGGTATCACACATGGGAAGAAAAAGCTGGAAAGTGAGATTGAAACAGAAAGCCACCTTCATCATCAACTTGGAATAAAGGGCATGAAACAGAACAATTTAGACATATTTATTTATATTTGACATTTACTTCATGTCAAGAGGACGTCTCAAAGCGCTTCAACTCCTTGCTGGGCACCAAAGCTGGGGAGTGAGAGCTGAAGAGAGAGGGGTAAGATGAAGGAAAGTCCAGTCACCAAACAGGTAGGTGTTAAGATGGGCCTTCAACAAGGGAAGGAGTTTCAGCAATCCTATCCTGGTCTCTGGAGTTCCAGAAAGCAGGGCAGGATGGCTGGAAGCTTGCCCACTAATGGTGAGGCATGTTTGGCAGGGATGTAAAGCAGACCAGTGGAATAGAATAAGGGGCTTTGTAATTATGGAGTCAGAAGCCAAGCGGGGAGAAGGGGCAATAGGTGTGTTTGAAGAGGTCACGGGTTGAAGAGCTCACGGGGTTGTTCAGCAGTCAATCACATGGGCACTGAGTAGCCAACAAGCAAACAAGCACATGTGTCAGAGAGTGAGATTGCAGGGCAGCCACTCGCATGGTCTGTTCCCCTCACCCCACATGCGCGCTCCTCTTCCTTTTCAGTAGATAACTGCTCACCACGTGTAACATTTGGCCATTTCAGTATTTAGATGTTTATAGTGAACACTTTTTTTTCCCAAGTCCCCAGGGCATTTGTTATACCGACGAGTTGGGTTTTGTGGATGGGGATAGCAGCAAAGAGAGCACATGCTGTGTGGTGGAGAGGAGACTCCCCTCCCAGAGGAACATTACCTGACAGCCAGGGAAGATATCACCTCATTGCCACACCCCCGAGTCAGGAGAGGGAGGAAATTCCTCCCATCCCATTTGCTGATGTAACACGGGAGCGGTTTCCTTTCTCGTTTGTGTGGAATCTGAACTGTGTAGAGACGAAAAGCTTCTTCATTATCTTCTACATTTCCAAACCTATAAGGGGGGAGAATTATATTACTATCTTTAATGGAGGGGGAAGATTTGTTCCCTCTGATCCCCCATTTTGCACCCAAACTGGCGGCAGTCCGTGGCTCACCTGCAGGCCTGATATCTGTAACTCTTCTCAGCCACATGAGGCATGTTCTCAGTCCAACTCAATCCCATCACCAGCTGATCCTTCTTCCACACACAGCAAGTGAAGTCTCTGCCCACAGACACCACCTGCACAGACACACACAGCAAGTGAAGCCTCCGCCCACAGACACCACCCACCCACCAGTTAGAGGGGAAGGGTAGGGGTCAGGCGTCCAGCGTCTCAGGAAGGGGGGGAACAGACACCCACTTTGTTATCGGGCCCGATGTCCACATCTTCCACCTCGCTGGAATGAGCTTTAAAATCCAAAGTTTTCTTCATGCTGGGAAACTGATGAATCAGAGAGAACAACATCAGTATTAGAATCCTTCTATTTATACAGCGCCTTTCACGTCAGGAAGATATCTCAAAGCGCTTCACAGGATTTACAGTAAAGTGGCGTGACTATATTTCTGTTGGCAAACGGCAGTCATCGTACACAGCAATGTCCAACAAACAGCCATGAAGTAAATTATCAATTTTATCTGGCTTATTGTTGGGCAGGACACCATGAGAAACTGAGATGTATTTGAGGAGTGCCGTGGAATCTTTAACATCCACTGGAACAAGCACAGGCTGGACCTGGACTTTAACATCTCATCTGAAGGATCGCGCCTCCAACAACACAGCACTCCCTCAGCACTAGTGTCAGCCAAGACTATAAGTTCAAAATCATGGATGTGGGGCTTAGACCGACAATCTTTTGATAAAGAAGTAAGAGTGTTACCAGCTAAGCAAGGCTGACGTACCCTAACAAACTACTTCTGGCATCTCAAATTAAGTGTTGCTTCATTTCATGGCTGTTTCAAGATCCTCATTGAAAATTGGCCGTTGCATTCACCTACAAAACACAGTGAAATGCTTCGAGGTGTCTCAAAAATAATCGGTGGTCCCATACCTCCCAGACGCGAATGTAGCCGTCGGCTCCCCCCGTGACAAGCAGAGAGGCATCGTGGTTCAGTCTGACAGCTTTCTGAAGAGCGTCTGTACTGAAGTCCGTCTGTACGACATTTAGGGACTCCACCACAATGGCTGGTGCTTCGCGGTGCAGATCCCCACTGCCATCCCCTGCCGTCCTGTTGCCTGGCTTCCGTTTCCTCACCTCAGTCTTGTTTGCTCCTGGAGACAGGACAGATGAGCAAGTTTTCCCGAGCTGCCAGCACATTTGTATAGTCATGTTGGACCAACATCTCAAAGCATTTCACAGAGATGACGAGAACAGCAGCAGCTTACATTTATTCGGTGCCTTTCATGTCAGAATGTCCCAAGGTGCTGTACAGTTAGATTTGGACCCAAGCAGGGGGTTGAGATCAGGAGGGGTGGAGCGCAGGGAAGGTAGGGGTAGGAGGGTTGGCCGAATTCGCAGTCGACAAGGAGTATCTTGAGACATGCAAAGGGAAGGAGCAAGGCGAAGGAATGTGGGAGGGAGTTTCAATGGGTGGGGGCAGAGAGGCTAAAGGCCCGACCCACGGCTATCGGCAGGCTGGGCGGGGGGCGTGGAGCAGGCCGGAGCGGACAGGTTAATATGGGGTCAGTAGGTCAGAGGTAGGAGGGGGCAAAGCCATAGAGGGCCTTGAAGGCAAGGGTGAGGATTTTGAAGTCCTCACCATCTTTCAGAGCAAGCTGCTCACTCAATTTCCTTTTCCCTCTCCCCATAACCCTTCAAGCTTCTCTACCTTTCCTATACCTGTACATTTCCCTCTTGTAAAACCACAATGGACTCTGTCTCTACCAACTTACTTGGTAGGACGTTCCATGTTCCAATGTCTGCGTGAAAATAATTCTTCTAAGGTCTCCTTTTATTCTTCTTGTGGCTGTCTGACTCACTCACACTTGCCTCAGTTAGATAGTTGTGGGTTCAAACTCCAAATGAGAACTCATATGGTCTAGGCTCATTCTTGTATTATTTATCTTATACCTATGTCCTCCAGTCACTCATTCCCTTATCAGTGGATCTAGGGAGAGACAATACCATACTATTTACATTCATATAGCAGTTTTCATGTCAGGAGGATATCTCAAAGAGCTAGTTGGCCACCTGAGCTGGGTGGGAGGGGGAGCGAAGAGGAGGAAGCTGAAAAGGGTGATGGGGGGGGGGGCAGAAGGAAAGGTGATAAAAACATGATCAAAGAGACTTGAGATGTGCTTTGAATGTAGGATGGAAGGGAGGGAGTCTGGAACAAAGCTCTAAAAAGACAGAACAAAATGGCTGAAAGTTCTTCCTCAACTCAGTAGTGACAGGTGAGGTGAGGGAAAGCTGAGTGAGAGTCTGATGTAGAACTTGGTTGGGGGGAGATCAAACAAGATACAAGGTCCTGCATTGATTCTGTACCAACTCTGAAAAGTGAGTTAACAGTTGTACAATTACATACACAGCAGCCAGGCTCACCTTTACCCTCATTTTTCCCAGCTTTCTGCCCCTGGGTTTTGTGTTTTGGTTCTCGGAATCGGAGGATGTGGCATGAGGCATCCTGTCCAGATGCCAAAAAATCGCCACTTGAAGCCATAGTCATAGTAGCACGTGTCTCTGTGTCATAGGAATGAATCAGAGTGCCAGAGATCTGCCCTTCAACATTCTCCAATCGCACAAAATGCTGAAGGACAGAATAAATAATAGTTTTGTTTGTTAAGTTGCAAATCTGACACACTCAAACTTCATGCACCATCACCACCACCAACAACAAAATTACATTTGTATAGCACCAGTCACGTCAGGAGGACACTGGACACTCAGTGTTTTGGACCCGAGCTGGGGGTCGGGAGGGGGAAGGGCGGGGGGGGGGGAAGCTGGGAGATTGAAAGCATGATCAAAGCGGATCTTGAGATGGGTCTTGAAGGAGGCAAGAGAGGGGGCAAGACGGAGGGAACCGTAGGATGAATTTCAAGAGGGGGGGGCAGGATGCAGTTGGTGGGACGGGCGAGGTGGGGGATGTGAAGAAGGCCGGAGCCCACCGAGCGAGGGAGTAGGCAGGATCGTAGGGGGTTAGGAGGTCGCAGAGCTCGGGGAGAGCAAGACCATGGAGGGCTTTGAAGGTGAGGACCAGGATCTTGAACTGTATCCTCTGTGTGATGGGAAGCCGGTGGAGTCGGGCGAGGATGGGGGGGATAAGGTCGCGGAGCCTCGTGCGGGAGCTGCAGAGTTCTGGATGATCTGCAGTCAGTGGAGGGAGGAGTTGGTGAGGCCGACAAACAGTTAGTTTGCAGAGTCGAGCCTCGATGTAATGAAGGTGTGTGTGAGGGTCTCGGGGCTGCGGTGTGAGACGATGTCGGAGCGGGTAATATTGCTGAGGTGGGGAGGGCAGAGCCGGTCATGGCGCAGATGTGGGGTAGAAAGGATAGTTGAGGGTCAATCAAGACCCCAAGGTCCCGGACCGGCTCAGTGAGGGGGAGTGAGCCCCAGGGATGAGGGGAGGCTGTCAGCGCCTGAGGTCTTGTTGATATTTGACAGACATTCTGTCAGGACAGCAGAACCCCCACCACAACACCCCCCCACCCCCCCCACCCCCCCCACCACAACACCCCCCCACCCCCCAACACCCCCCCACCACAACACCCCCCCACCCCCCAACACCCCCCACCACAACACCCCCCACCCCCCAACACCCCCCACCCCAACACCCCCCACCCCCCAACACCCCCCACCACAACACCCCCCCACCCCCCACCACAACACCCCCCCACCCCCCAACACCCCCCCCACCCCCCCCCACCACAACACCCCCCCACCCCCAACACCCCCCCACCCCCCACCACAACACCCCTCACCACCACAACACCCCCCCACCCCCCAACACCCCCCACCCCCCAACACCCCCCACACCCCCCAACACCCCCCACCACCACAACACCCCCCCACCCCCAACACCCCCCCACCCCCCCGACACCCCCCACCACAACACCCCCACCACAACACCCCCCCACCCCCCAACACCCCCCTACCACAACACCCCCCCACCCCCCAACACCCCCCCACCACAACACCCCCCACAGCGCAACACCTACACCCCGACACCCACACCCCGACACCCACCCACACCCCGACAACCACCCACCCCCAACACCTACTCCCACACCGCGACACCCACACCCCCCACCACAACAACCCCCCACCCCCCAACACCCCCCACCACAACAGCCCCCACCACAACACCTACTCCCACACCCCGACACCAACCCCGACACCCACCCACACCCCAACATCCACCACACCCCGACATCCACCCACACCCCGACATCCACCCACACCCCGACACCAACCCACCCCCGACATCCACCCACACCCCGACACCCACCCACACCCCGACACCCACCCACACCCCGACACCCACCCACACCCCGACACCCACCCACACCCTGGGACACATACACAGGAAAATTTCTGCGTCTGGAATGGAATGTGCACTCTCTCCCCGGAGGGGGGACCCCACAGTGTGCGTTGGGGTGTAACAGCTAAACCGCACTGCTTGACTGTGTGTGTAGTGAGTGTGTGTGTAGTGACTGTGTTTAGTGACTGTGTGTGTATAGTGGGTGTGTGTGTAGTGACTGTGTTTAGTGACTGTGTGTGTAGTGACTGTGTTTAGTGACTGTGTGTGTATAGTGAGTGTGTGTGTAATGACTGTGTAGTGACTGTGTGTGTAGTGACTGTGTTTAGTGACTGTGTGTGTGTAGTGACTGTGTTTAGTGACTGTGTGTGTAGTTACTGTGTTTAGTGACTGTGTGTGTGTAGTGACTGTGTTTAGTGACTGTGTGTGTATAGTGGGTGTGTGTGTAGTGACTGTGTGTGTATAGTGGGTGTGTGTGTAGTGACTGTGTTTAGTGACTGTGTGTGTAGTGACTGTGTTTAGTGACTGTGTGTGTATAGTGAGTGTGTGTGTAGTGACTGTGTTTAGTGACTGTGTGTGTTTAATGAGTGTGTGTGTAATGACTGTGTAGTGACTGTGTGTGTAGTGACTGTGTAGAAGGTACAGTTAGTGATCGAGTCTCAGTCACTCACCACCGCGTTCCTGACCCCTGTGCGGGACGCGCCCCCACCGCCCGCCACCACCGCGAGCCCCGCGCGGGGTACACGGACCGTGTAGAGCGGGAAAGGGGCGCGGTACAGCTCGGGGTCCCGGCGGCGGTGCATCGCGGCCCGGGAGGCGGAGCCGAGTCTCGGTGCCGGGGGGCCGGGGTCGGGGGGGGGAGCGGCGGTGGGGGGGAGCGGCGGTGGGCGGTGCCGGTGCCGGTGGGGGGGGGCGGTGCCGGTGGGGGGGGCGGTGGCGGTGGGGGGGAGCGGCGGTGGGCGGTGCCGGTGGGGGGGGCGGCGGTGGGCGGCGGTGCCGGTGGGGGGGGGGCGGCGGTGCCGGTGTGGGCGGTGCCGGTGCCGGTGGGGGGGGGCGGCGGTGGGCGGCGGTGCCGGTGTGGGGGGCGGCGGTGCCGGTGGGCGGTGCCGGTGCCGGTGGGGGGGCGGCGGTGCCGGTGTGGGCGGTGCCGGTGCCGGTGGGGGGGGCGGCGGTGGGCGGCGGTGCCGGTGGGGGGGGGGGGGCGGCGGTGCCGGTGTGGGCGGTGCCGGTGCCGGTGGGGGGGGCGGCGGTGGGCGGCGGTGCCGGTGGGGGGGCGGCGGTGGCGGCGGTGGGGCCCGGGGTCTGGTCTCGGGTCCGGGGCTGAGCTGCGGCTGCGCACTGGGCCCCACGTCACCGGAAACGGTAGTTGAGACACGTGACTCCAACCGCCATGTGCAGTGCGGCGGGTGATCCCCGGTGAGGCCCGGGGGAGGGGGGGTGTTGGGGGGTGGGGGGTGTTGTGGTGGGGGTGTTGGGGGGTGGGGGGGTGTTGTGGTGGGGGGTGTTGTGGTGGGGGTGTTGGGGGGGGGGGTGTTGTGGTGGGGGTGTTGGGGGGGGGGGGTGTTGGTGGTGGGGGTGGGGGGGTGTTGGGTGGTGGGGTGTTGTGGTGGGGGGTGGGGGGGTGTTGGGGGGGGGGGGTTGGGGGGGTGTTGTGGTGGTGGGGGTGTTGTGGGGGGGGGGGTGGGGGGGTGTTGGGGGGGGGGGTGTTGTGGTGGGGGGGTGGGGGTGTTGTGGTGGGGGTGTTGGGGGTGGGGGGTGTTGGGGGTGGGGGGTGTTGGGGGTGGGGGTGTTGTGGTGGGGGGGGTGGGGGGTGTTGTGGTGGGGGTGTTGGGGGGTGGGGGGTGTTGTGGTGGGGGGTGTTGTTGGGGTGTTGGGGTGGGTTGTGTGGGGGGTGGGTGTTGGGGGGTGTTGTTGGGGGTGTTGGGGGTGGGGGGGTGTTGTGGTGGGGGTTCTGCTGTCCTGACAGAATGTCTGTCAAATATCAACAAGACCTCAGGCGCTGACAGCCTCCCCTCATCCCTGGGGCTCACTCCCCCTCACTGAGCCGGTCCGGGACCTTGGGGTCTTGATTGACCCTCAACTATCCTTTCTACCCCACATCTGCGCCATGACCGGCTCTGCCCTCCCCCACCTCAGCAATATTACCCGCTCCGACATCGTCTCACACCGCAGCCCCGAGACCCTCACACACACCTTCATTACATCGAGGCTCGACTCTGCAAACTAACTGTTTGTCGGCCTCACCAACTCCTCCCTCCACTGACTGCAGATCATCCAGAACTCTGCAGCTCCCGCACGAGGCTCCGCGACCTTATCCCCCCATCCTCGCCCGACTCCACCGGCTTCCCATCACACAGAGGATACAGTTCAAGATCCTGGTCCTCACCTTCAAAGCCCTCCATGGTCTTGCTCTCCCCGAGCTCTGCGACCTCCTAACCCCCTACGATCCTGCCTACTCCCTCGCTCGGTGGGCTCCGGCCTGCCTCACGGCCCCGCCTCGCTCGCCCCACTATTGGCAGGCGGGCCTTGCGCCACTCTGTCCCCACCCTCCTTCCCACAGTCCCTCCGCCTCACCCCCTCCCTTGCGATCTTCAAGACCCTCCTCTTCGACCGTACTTTCGATCTCCCTGCTTCCCCACCTGCCCTCGCCACTCCGTCATCATGACCCCCAGTGTGGGTCCTAAACTCTTGTCTGTCCAGCACCTTGGGACGTCCTCCAGACGTGAAAGGCGCTTTACAAATGTAATTTTGTTGGTGATGTTGATCACCTTTTTCTTTACATCGGTCATTCTCCAGTTCTCGGGTACAGTTCCTTTCTGCAGAGTTCTATATTAATAAAGACAAAATGTTTGTGTGTCAATGTATCCGTCAATCACGCAATAAACAATTGATATAGAGACATGATTTATACCTCATCAGAAAGGTACCGCAACTGGCAGTGTCATGGCATATTTTTTAGTCCCATGTGGGACAGACAGAACGAGAGACTGAGATAGTAAGAGAGGCAGAGAGGTTGTGAGAGAGGCTGAGAGAGACTGAAAGAATATACTATAAAGTGACTGTTTTGTAGGAGAGACAGACTGAGAGCAAGAGAGAGAGAGAGACTGAGAAAGAGACAGAGACTGAGAGAAAATATATTAAAGGTGTCCTCCACAGGAGTCCTCCACAGGAGTCCTCCCAGCTGAGTATAAAGACAAAATGTCTGTGTGTCTGTGTCAATCTACATTCCATATTTGATCCTTTGGTTGTAAGCGAAGCTGCAACGGGTACAGCGAGTAAATATATAAATACAAGATTCTCAGCTTTTTCATCCTCACTTTCCCTAAAAATCCTTGGTGCAGTCTGTTTTGGCCAGAGCCTTGTCTTTTAAGTTTGTCATTTTATTCAAAAAATATTTATTCTTCCTATTTTAACTGTTGTGACTTTACACTTTACTTTTGTTCTCACAGTTTTTTTATTTCCTTTGTAAAAACTAAAGACTTTGCCTTAGGAATGAGTGAAGACTCATATTCCACATGAGTCTTCACCCATTCCTTACTCCCCATCTTTAGTATTTTACTTTGAAGTATTCATTTAGTATTTCATTATTATTTACTGTGAGCTTATCCCCTTCATCCCTACTGTAACCATCCTTTTATTGCTAAGATAACTTATTATTATTGCTGTTTCTCTTTATATTTTTCCTATGTTCTCCTTATAGTTACTCTTTGCCTTCCTAATGATCTCTTCTAAGTTTTCCTAACTCTTTCCAAAGTTTTTTTGTTATCACTCCTATTTTCCTCACCATTGTCTATTCTGTATTCTTCCCCCCCACCCCCGGTCTCTCTGTCTCTGTCTTTCTTTCTCTTCCTGCCACAGTCCCCGTTTCCTGACATTAACACGTGAGTCGGTGATGTACTGCTTCTGACCAGGAAGTGCAGATTCAGTTTCTGCTTTTGAAGTTTGTGTACGTAAGATAGTTATTTGTTCAGCCGGTTGTCTGATATTCGCAGAACAGAAAAGCTTGAGAGTGTCCAACTAAGATTACAGTACCCATTAGGGCTTTGGCTTGCAGGGTTAACAGGAGCTGAGTGCGAGGATGTCCTGCTTCCAGTGACTGGTCTGCCCTTCCAGGTCCTGCCCATGAGGTCGGCGAGGCTGTGCTGGAATACTGCAGACCCACCTGGATCAGGAACCAGAGTAGAGACCGGTACAGGGAGTTGACTCAATTGCAACATGTGGTTATCTGCGTCTTTGTGTGTGTGTCTCTCCAGGTCATCCTCCCAATGTGAAAGAAACTTTACAATTGTATTTTTTTGTTGTAGGTGTTTCTCAGACTCTCTCTTCTCTCAGTGATGTTCTGGTTGGCACAATGTGTTTGAGAGAAGCTTTCCTCTTGCTGGTGATGCCGGCGTGCCTGATCTCCGTGCTCGGCCTGGCTCCAATGTCCCAGGAGATGGTTATCTATATCAACCAGCTCAACACCACATGGAAGGTCAGTCTGCACCACATGTCACTGGGCTCTGTCACCGGCAGTACTATTTAGCACTGTGACTGGGCACCAACACCCCCTACTGCGCAACTGTCTCACTCTCTGTTCCTGGTCTCAGGCTGGACATAATTTCTATTCGGTGCCCCTGAGCTACGTTAAGAGACTTTGTGGAACTTTCATTAATGGACCCCAGCCACCGGTATGGTGAGTACAGGGTCTATCTCTCTCTGACACACTCTTTCTGACACTCTGTTTTTCTGACACACTGTCACTCTGACACTCGCACTCTGACTCTAACTCTGACACTCTCAATCTGACACTCACTCTGATACTCTCATTCTGACAGTCTGACACTCTCACTCTGACACACTCACTCTGATACTCACTCTGACTCTCACTCTGACACTCAATCTGACTCTCACTCTGACACTCTGACTCTCACTCTGACACTCTCACTCTGACACTCACTCTTACTCTCACTCTGACACTCACTCTGACACCCTGACACTCTCTCTGGCACACTCTCTGACACTCACTCTGACTCTCTCTCTCTGACACTCTCTCTTTCTCTCTGACACTTACTCTCTCACACTCACTCTCTGACACTATCTCTCTCTCTGACACTGTCTCTCTGACACTCTCTGTCATTCTCTGACACTCACTCTCTGACTCCCTCTGACACTCACTCTCTAACTCTCTCTCTCTGACTCTCTCTCTGACACTCTCTCTGACACACTCTCTCTCTGACACTCTCTCTGACACTGTCTCTCTGACACTCTCTCTGACTCTCTCTCTGACACTCTGATACTCACTCTCTGACACTCTCTCTGACACTCTCTCTGACACTCACTCTCAGACACTCTCTTTCTGACACTCTCTCTCTCTGACACTCTCTCTCTCTCTCTCTGACACTCTCTCTCTGACACACTCTCTCTCTGACATTCTCTCTCTCTCTGACATTCTCTCTGTCACTCTCTCTCTCTGACTCTCACTCTCAGACACTCTCTTTCTGACACTCTCTCTCTCTGACTCTCTCTTTCTCTGACACTCACTCTGACACTCTCTCTCTCTGACACTTTCTGTCACTCTCTCTCCCTGACACTCACTATTTGACACTCTCTCCGACACTCTCTCTCTCTGACTCTCTCTCTCTGACACTCTCTCTCTGACACTCTCTCTCTGACACTCACTCTCTGACCATCTCTCTCTGACACTCTCTGGCACTCACTCTCTGACACTCTCTCTCTGACACTCTCTGACACTCACTCTGACTCTCTCTCTCTCTGACACTCTCTCTCTTTCTCTCTGACACTTACTCTCTGACACTCACTCTCTGACACTATTTCTCTCTCTGACACTCTGTCATTCTCTGACACTCACTCTCTGACTCTCTCTGACACTCACTCTCTGACTCTCTCTCTGACTCTCTCTCTCTGACTCTCTCTCTGACACTCTCTGATACTCACTCTCTGACACTCTCTCTCTGACACTCTCTGACACTCTCTCTGACATTCTCTCTCTCTGACACTCTCTATGACACTCTCTCTCTCTGACTCTCTCTCTCTCTCTCTCTGACTCTCTCTGTCACTCTCTCTCTCTCTCTGACACTCACTCTCTGACACTGACATTCTCTCTCTCTCTTTGACACTCTCTCTCTCTGACACTCTCTATGACACTCTCTCTCTCTCTGACTCTCTCTCTCTCTCTCTGACTCTCTCTGTCTCTCTCTCTCTGACACTCTGACATTCTCTCTCTCTCTTTGACACTCTCTCTCTGACACTCTCTGACACTCACTCTGACTCTCTCTCTCTCTGACACTCTCTCTCTTTCTCTCTGACACTTACTCTCTGACACTCACTCTCTGACACTATTTCTCTCTCTGACACTCTCTGTCATTCTCTGACACTCACTCTCTGACTCTCTCTGACACTCACTCTCTGACTCTCTCTCTGACTCTCTCTCTGACACTCTCTGATACTCACTCTCTGACACTCTCTCTGACTCTCTCTCTCTGACTCTCTCTCTGACACTCTCTGATACTCACTCTCTGACACTCTCTCTCTGACACTCTCTGACACTCACTCTCAGACACTCTTTCTGACACTCTCACTCTCTGACACTCTCTCTGACACACTCTCTCTGTGACTCTCTCTCTGACTCTCTCTGTCACTCTCTCTCTCTCTCTCTCTCTCTGACACTCACTCTCTGACACTCTCTCTGACATTCTCTCTCTCTCTCTGACACTCTCTATGACACTCTCTCTCTCTGCCTCTCTCTCTCTCTCTCTCTGACTCTCTCTGTCACTCTCTCTCTCTCTCTGACACTCACTCTCTGACACTCTGACATTCTCTCTCTCTCTTTGACACTCTCTCTCTGACACTCTCGGTGACTCTCTGACACTCTCTGTCAGTCTCTCTCTCTCTGACACTCACTCTCTGACTCGCTCTCTCTCTTACACTCTCTCTCTGACACACTCTCTCTCTCTGACACTCACTCTGACACTCTCTCTCTCTGACACTCTCTCTCTGACACTCTCTCTCTGACACTCTCCTGACACACTCTCTGACTCTCTCTCTCTCTGACACTCACTCTCTGACTCTCTCTCCCTCTGACACTCTCTCTCTCTATCTCTCAGGTATCTGCCTGACAGAGGGATACGTTTACCCGAACACTTTGATTGGCGTCAACAGATACTGTGTCCAACAACACGTCAAATACGCGACCAGGGATCGTGTGGATCGTGTTGGGTATAACACACTCCGTCACCCGCAGCAACGGACTCGCGCACTCACTACCTCCACACTCTCTCTCTGTGTTACTAACACTCTCTCTCTGTGTTACTAACACTCTCTCTCTCGGTTACTAACACTCTCTCTCTGTGTTACTAACACTCTCTCTCTGTGTTACTAACACTCTCTCTCTCGGTTACTAACACTCTCTCTCTCGGTTACTAATACTCTCTCTCTGTGTTACTAACACTCTCTGTGTTACTAACACTCTCTCTCTCGGTTACTAACACTCTCTCTCTCGGTTACTAACACTCTCTCTCTGTGTTACTAACACTCTCTCTCTGTGTTACTAACACTCTCTCTCTGTGTTACTAACACTCTCTCTCTGTGTTACTAACACTCTCTGTGTTACTAACACTCTCTCTCTCGGTTACTAACACTCTCTCTCTGTGTTACTAACACTCTCTCGGTTACTAACACTCTCTCTCTGTGTTACTAACACTCTCTCTCTCGGTTACTAACACTCGCTCTCTCGGTTACTAACACTCTCTCTCGGTTACTAACACTCTCTCTCGGTTACTAACACTCTCTCTCTCGGTTACTAACCCTCTCTCTCTGTGTTACTAACACTCTCTCTCTGTGTTACTAACACTCTCTCTCTCGGTTACTAACACTCTCTCTCTGTGTTACTAACACTCTCTCTCTCAGTGACTAACACTCTCTCTCTCAGTGACTAACACTCTCTCTCTCAGTGACTAACACTCTCTCTCTCTCAGTGACTAACACTCTCTCTCTGTGTGACTAACACTCTCTCTCTGTGACTAACACTCTCTCTCAGTGACTAACACTCTCTCTCTGTGTTACTAACACACTCTCTGTGTTACTAACACTCTCTCTCTGTGTTACTAACACTCTCTCTGTGTTACTAACACTCTCTCTCTCTGGGTTACTAACACTCTCTCTGTGTTACTGACTCTCTCTCTGTTACTAACACTCTCTCTGGGTTACTAACACTCTCTCTGTGTTACTAACACTCTCTCTCTGTGTTACTAACACTCTCTCTCTGTGTTACTAACACTCTCTCTGTGTTACTAACACTCTCTCTCTCTGTTACTAACACTCTCTCTGTGTTACTAACACTCTCTCTGGGTTACTAACACTCTCTCTCTGGGTTACTAACACTCTCTATCTCTGGGTTACTAACCCTCTCTCTCTGGGTTACTAACCCTCTCTCTCTGGGTTACTAACCCTCTCTCTCTGGGTTACTAACCCTCTCTCTCTGGGTTACTAACACACTCTCTGTGTTACTAACACTCTCTCTGGGTTACTAACCCTCTCTCTCTGTGTTACTAACACTCTCTCTGTGTTACTAACACTCTCTCTCTGGGTTACTAACACTCTCTCTCTGGGTTACTAACACTCTCTCTGGGTTACTAACCCTCTCTCTCTGGGTTACTAACCCTCTCTCTCTGGGTTACTAACACTCTCTCTGTGTTACTAACACTCTCTCTGGGTTACTAACCCTCTCTCTCTGGGTTACTAACCCTCTCTCTCTGGGTTACTAACACTCTCTCTCTGGGTTACTAACACTCACTCTGGGTTACTAACACACTCTCTGTGTTAATAACACACTCTTAACACATCATCTGGATATCTGAAAGTGCTTCACAGAACACACTGTAAAGTGAATTGACTGTATATTTGTGGGCGAACGCGGCAGCCAATTGCGCACAGCAATGTCCCACAAACAGTCGTGGATTGAAAATGACCAATTTATTATTGTTTTTGGTTTTGGAGGGATTATTATTAGGCTCTGTGTGGAGTAAGGAAACTTGCCCAAGGTTTGGCCCTCTGCCTGGAATTGAACCCAGGTGTCTCACTTGCAAAGCGAGTGCTCTAACCACTGAGCTACAGGACTCTCTGGGTTACTAACACACTCTGACACATTCCCACTCTGACATAAAATCTCACTCTGATACTCTTAACACTCTCTTACAGTTTCTGACTCTCACTCGGACCAATTCACTCGGACACTCTCTCACTCTGACTCTGACACACTCTGATACACTCACTCTGACACTCTGACTCTCTCTGACTCTCTCTCTGACACACTCTTGTTATGAACACTTTCTCTCTGTGTTACTCACACACAGTCTCTCTGGTTCAGGCATTTGCTGCAGTCGGAGCGATATCTGACCGGATTTGTATTCAATCTGAGGGGAAGGTGAATGCTGAGATTTCTGCCGAGGATTTGCTTTCCTGCTGTGTTCCCAATTGCAGTGACGGGTCAGTGTATATGCACAGTCAGTGTTCACACACACAGTGTTTATGCACAGTGTGTATGCACAGTCAGAAATTGATTGGGATAAAAAAGTGTCTACTGGTATTCTAGGGAACGAATATCTGGAGTTAAAGGAAGAGTATTTTACAACTCAGTTTGTAAAGGAGCAAACGAGGAAATAACATCTTGGGTTTGGTGATGAGTTGGGCTGATAGAAACGTGCTGAAATATTTGACGTTTGACAAATTTTGCAGAAAATTGCGGAGTGTTTCTCCTATTCATTTTGTGAAACAAACGGTTAATCCGACAGTTTATATCTCTTTACTGTGACGTTATGTTTAAAAAACTAAAACTGTTAATGTTAATACAGCACATACCACCAATTGTTCGCAGGAGTACAGGTTAGCGTACAGGCACAACTACCACCATCCCAACACTCCCCGTCCCAACACTCCCCGTCCCAACACTCCCCGTCCCAACACTCCCCGTCCCAACACTCCCCGTCCCAACACTCCCCGTCCCAACACTCCCCATCCCAACACTCCCCATCCCAACACTCCCCATCCCTACATCCCTACCCAATAGAAGCCCACGGTATCAAAGGGACAGTGGCAGCGGATACAGAACTGTCTGGGAGACAGAGAGCAGAGAGTGGTGCTGGACGGTTGTTTTTTTGACTGGAGGGAAGTGTGGAGTGGTGTCTCTCAGGGGTCAGTATTGGGACCACTGCTGTTTGTGATCTATATCAATGACCTGGACTTGGGTATAGGGAGCACAATTTCCAAGTTTGCAGATGATACTAAGCGAGAAAAAGGAGTAACAGTGAGGAGGATAGGAGCAGATGGCAAATGGACTTAGACAAAAGCCGATACATAGCAGATGAAGTTTAATGTGGAGAAATGCGAAATGATATATTTTGGGAGGAAGAATGAGGAGGCTCACTTACGAAAGTAAACTTATGGAACAGGCTCCATAGGGAGACAGACGGTGCAAGCAGAAATTTTGTTTGTTTCAAGAACAAATTAAAGATTTTTGCAAGAAAATAATATCTGGGGGGGGATACAGTGTAGAATTGGGACACAACATGTCAAGCGACTGCCAGGATGGTGGAAAATAAAATCAGCCAAATCTGTAAGGAAATAACGCTAATTCCTTTAACCAGATATCTGATTTAATATCTGATTTAAAAATAAGTTTTATTATTATTCGTTCGTTATTCCCCAATATCCCGATGGGTCAGACCAAAGGCCGTACAATCAACAGATCTTATAACAGAATAATACCACTGTAGATATCTCGAGTTCAACACTGTATATTTCCAGCACACAAGTTTGATTCTTCATGCTTTCAGTCTTCTTGCTGACAGCTTTCAATCTTCCATCCAATATCCTCAGTCTTAGTGTTTCTAGCTCTCAGTCTTCCATCTCCGTACCCTTGTCTCCGCAGCCCGGGACGGCTCCATCTCCCGTATCCTTGTCTCCGTGACCCGGGACGGCTCCATCTCCCGTATCCTTGTCTCCGTGACCCGGGACGGCTCCATCTCCCATATCCTTGTCTCCGTGACCCGGGACGGCTCCATCTCCCGTATCCTTGTCTCCGTGACCCGGGACGGCCCCGTACACAAAGTTATCGGAACTCTTATACCGATGTTCGTCCAATCATGGTGTGGACATTAGGTCACCTGCTGAAATCATGCCGGGTGTACGTGAGCACCTCATGGGGTGTAGTGCCTCACACACATACACATTGTCCTTAAGACCCCTGTTATCTGATCTAATTGTCTAAGATAGAGGATTGATCAGTTTAGGGCTGTATCTGGTGCTCATTATTTTGTGGTGTGGGATCATTAGTACATTCCTTTTAAGTGACTGGTTATTGCTGATCAGTATCCCGGGATGGTACCGAGGCCCTCCAGTTTAAACAACTTGCTCATTAGTTGCTATTCTTGAGGGTTGCCTTCTGTCGCTCGGCCCTGTCAGAATCTAGCGACTTATTGCTCAGTCGAGATCCTGTGTCGACTGGTACCTTGGACCGTTACCTCTGTGGCTTGTTGTCATTTACTGATAAGAGGTGACCCCCGGCCCCTGTCTGTTATTCTTTCAAAAACAGAGAAAACCAGAGGTGTCCTATCCCATGACTGTCAGTCCAGTTGTCCCCCACACTTAACTTAAAAGTTAACCCGTTCGCAACATCTATGATTTATGATTCTAACATTATACAAAAAGTGTATATTCTAACAAGATGGACCTTGGTCTTCTTTCGCCAGCAAATTCTTCTGTGCTTATGTTCGCACGTGGTCAGTGTACAACAACAAACTATACTTGTATAGCGTCTTTCACATCAGGAGGGCGTCCGAAGGCCTGAAACCCATATGGTTTAGTGTATGCACAGTTTGGGTTAAACACTTTCTAGATTGTGGCCTCTGCACTATACAAACCCTAAATTCTGTATGCAGAACCACATACACACTCTCACCAACACTCTTTCTCCAATACTTATTCTCTCTGATATTCTCTGTATGCACTGTGTTCCTGTTGACAGGTGCAGTGGAGGCTTTGCTGCCGTTGCCTGGGATTACTGGAAAGAGCAAGGATTAGTGACTGGAGGAGAATATGGCTCTAACATTGGTCAGTACGCGGGTGGGCCAGTGCCATGTGCCTTTGTTCTTGTATCGGAATCTCCCCTCAGGCTGGGTCTGTGTATGGTCCAGTCTGGCCCTGCCATATTACCCTCCTCTCTCTCTCTCTCCTCCTTCAGGCTGCCGTCCATATTCCATACCCCCCTGTGAGCACCATGTGAATGGTTCGCGGCCAGCCTGCTCCGGGGAGGCTACCGTACCTCGCTGCCGGCGACACTGTGAGACCGGCTACACACGTTCCTACTGCAAGGACAAGTATTATGGTAAGTCAACATGACCCCTCGCCCCACAGGGTTTATCAGTCCCTGGGAGTCTTATAGTGATGGATTTCTTTGCTGGTCAGAATCCCAGCTGAACAAAAAAACATTTCTCTCCTACAGGAGCCACTTCGTACAGTGTCTCTGCCAATGAGACTCAGATACAGTTGGAGATCTATAGACATGGTCCAGTGGATGGTAGTCTATCCATGTACACTGACATACTGCTGTACAAGACAGGTAACAGGAACACATGGAGGGGTTTTGGAGGGGTATTTAGAGATTTGTTTCTCAGTGATTTCTGTGCTGACATCCAACAGGGGTTTACCATCATGTGACCGGAGAGATGTTGGGCGGCCACTCTGTCAAGATGCTGGGCTGGGGAGTGGAAGACGGGACTCCTTACTGGCTGATCGCAAACTCCTGGAACACAGACTGGGGAGACAATGGTAAGTGATGTAGAACAGGCTGACTCTCCTCTCGGCCTGGGGGCCATGCAGTTTCCCTGTGGGGCTGCTTTGAACTGTGGGAGCAGATGGTGGGGTGAGAGGCTGATACGCAACAACAACAACAAGATTCCATTTATAGAGCGCCTTTCACGTCGGGAGGACGTCCCAAGGCGCTGTACAGTTGGGTCAGGACCAATGGGCAGTTCGGTGGCAGATTGTAACGCTGCTGTCTGGCTGTGGGTGAGGTTGCATTGCTGCTCTCTCTGGCTGTGAGTGTGGTGCGGTGGGGAAGGGGGAGATGCTACTGATTGTGTAGGATGCTTTGAGCGAGAGGTGACAGTTGCTGTTATCTTTTTTCAGGTTTTTTCAAAATCCTCCGTGGCAGCAATGAATGTGGCATTGAGAGTGAGATTATAGCTGGTCTGCCCAGCTTCCCCCACACCCCCCTGAGCAAGCAACCATGAGACCTACACCTGAACACCATTCCCTACACCTGAACACCATTCCCTACACCTGAACACCATTCCCTACACCTGAACACCATTCCCTACACCTGAACACCATTCCCTACACTATCCCCTGCACCTCAACACCATCCCTTAGAACAACAACAACTGTTAATCCTGCAAGCTAAGGCCCTAGTGGAGTCCTGTAGCTCAGTGGTTAGAGCACTCGCTTTGCAAGTGAGAGACCTGAGTTCAATCCCAGGCAGGTCACGGCGAAACCTCGGGCAAGTTTCCTTACTCCACACAGAGCCTAATAATAATCCTCCAAAACCAAACAATAATAAATTGGTCATTTTCAATCCACGACTGTTTGTGGGACATTGCTGTGCGCAATTGGCTGCCGCGTTCGCCCACAAATATACAGTCAATTCACTTTACAGTGTGTTCTGTGAAGTGCTTTGGGACGTCCTCCCAACGTGAAAAGCGCTATATCAAATGCAAGGATTTTATTATTATTATTATTATTATAATGGGTAGGGTGATCTGAATTGGAAAAGCAGCGGGAAGCTTCCCCAGACAGCTCAATGGCAACCTGTGTACTTTTAGCTGGTTAGACCAACAGTTACCCCAATGCACACTCTGGGACCCTCCCAAATCATGTATCTTGCCAACATTCGCCGAACCCAATCCCGGTAAGCAGAGAGATAGTGAACATTCCATTCCAGAAATAGGGACATTTCCCTGTCAAGGTGGAAGGTAGTTTAAAGACTCTTAATCAAGTAATGGTTTTCCACATATGTCAAACACCCATCTGTCCAGCTGAACAAAAAACGTCACTGGTGTTTGGCCACACATGGACTACTACATTCAGTTTTGAGGAGCAGATTTGTGAAAATGATACCAGAGACAAGGGCCTCTAGTTACGAGGAGAGAATTGATCGTCACAAGAAAAGCAAAAAGAGTTTCGATTTTTTTTCACACAGCGACATGTGAATGCCCTGTCATGTCAGGTGATTGAGTCCTTTTGGGTTTTGAGATGGGAGTAGACAGGTATATCTCTAAATAAAATGACAATGTCTGTCTGTGCTTCAAGAAGGATTTCACTAACCGGATTGACCCAGAGACATGATATATACCTCATCGGAAATGTCTTGCAACTGGGAGTGACATGGACATATTTTTTGGGTGTATCTCCTATCGTTTATGAGTTTTATGTTCAGTTTTGTGTTTTTTGCTGCAGCTGACTGGTGCTCTGGCTCCTGTGTCATAGAGCACACACTAAGCTGTGCGAACAAATAAAGAACACAGATGAAGCTAAGCCATGACAGCAACAAAATTACATTTTTAATACTAATAATAATCCTCCCATTTGATATAGTGCTTTTCACATCTTCCAGACATCTCAAAGCGCTTCACAGAATGTACTGTAAAGTGAATTCACTGTATATTTTGTGGGCGAAAAGCGGCAGCCAATTACACACAGCAGCGTCCCACAAACAGTCATGGATTGAGTGATCAATTTTTATTATCGTTTTTATTTCCTGGAGAGATTATTATCAGGCGTGTGGAGTAAGGAAACTTGCCCAAGGTTTCACCCTGCCAGGAATCAAACCCAGGTTTATCTCTTGTGAGGCGAACGCTCTAACCACTGAGCTACGTCTATTTTTAAAGCATCGAGTCTAACACACTGCTTGCTGGATTCCCTAGCTGTTCCCTGCCCCAGAACTCTAGCCAATGTTTTTTTCTGGACTAGATTCCACATTCTTATTCCTCATCTTCACTTGGCTCATGTTTAATTCTGTCTTAAGATGTACCTCTTACCAGGCTTGTGGTCCTTTCCCTTCCCCACCCCAGCCACAAATATCAAGCACTTTGAGATGTCCCACCCGATGTGACAGATGCTGTATGATTACACAGCAAGTATTACAGTACTGGAGTCCTGTAGCTCAGTTGTTATTATTATTACACTAGGAGTTTATTAATCTCTGAGTTTCAGCGCTTCACACACACATACATCACCAACCCATCCTCAGGCAGCGCTCCCAGTCCTTCATGGTGACAAGGCAGCACATGTTGGTCTCATCTCTGGAGTCACACTTACATCCACAATGTGGCGATTCCCCACAAGCACGGGGAATGGATTGGCTCTGTCGGCGTTCCCTTGTGACCTCTGCTGCTTGCGTCAGTTATAAAATATACTAAAACAATCTCTAAACAGAATGGAGGGACAGCTAAATTCAGTATCATTGTCTCGGCACATACTTGTCCTGCTCCTGGGACAGCATCCGCCAGTACTGCCAGCTGACAGCGGCAAAAAACATGGCGAAGGAGACGTAGATGGGCGCCAGGTGGCTGCGTGAGAGGAGTCGACCTTCAGCCTCGCTCAGAGTCTGGATCCTGCTCAAGATTTGCTGTGTTCTAGCCGCCGAGACATCAGTACTGGGTACCTTCTGTCCAATCTGAGAAGAGAGATAATAATAATAATAATCCTTGCATTTGATATAGCGCTTTTCATGTCGGGAGGACATCCCAAAGCGCTTCACAGAACACACTGTAAAGTGAATTGACTGTACATTTGTGGGCGAACGCGGCAGCCAATTGCGCACAGCAATGTCCCACAAACAGTCGTAGATTGAAAATGACCAATTTAATTATTGGTTTTGGAGGGATTATTATTAGGCTCTGTGTGGAGTAAGGAAACTTGCCCAAGGTTTCGCCCTGTCTGGAATTGAACTCGGGTCTCTCACTTGTAAAGCGAGTGCTCTAACCACTGAGCTACAGTCTCCACGATGTGTAAGAGCAAGGTGTAAGAGTCTCTTGAGAGAGCGCAGGGAGATGTGTGTGCGCGTATAAGAGGCAGGCACAGGGAGATGTATGTGAGGTGCCAGACATGTTTGCTCCCTACAGTAAGCAGCATTGTTTGTTCACATGTTACGTACTGCTCGGGAATACTGGAACATGATCCTTTTGACAGCATCGATATTGGTCGCCCCCATCATCAGAGTAACAGCCTGGCCTTTCCTGATCTTCACCACACCTCGGAACACATGTGGGTTATTGTAACAGGCAGCCAGAGTGGCAATAGCCATCACCTATCAGAGTGCAGACACGTGGGTAAACACACACAGCCAGACTGAAAGTTTCATATTTGTTACTTACACACAAAAATTCCCAGCTACCTAATTCCAAATAGTTTTAGGTGCAGGTTGGCGAGAGCCAGTGCTTGGGGACTTCAGAGTGTGTGTAGGGACAATGGCTGACATCTAACCAGCTGAAATCACCTAGCTTGTTTCTGTTTTTCCAGCTAGGACCACCCAATCTGTTAGGGCTTTGGCTTTCAGGTTTAATAGGAGCTGAAGATTCCCTGTCCCAAGCGACTTGTCTGCCTTTCCAGGTCCTGCTGTTGGACCGCGCTGAGCTGCCATCAGCAATGCCCTGGTGTACTGCGGACCCACCTGCAATAGAGTGCCAGAGGGGATAGTCTTGATCTGACATTCTATTACAAAGTTGGTTCAGCCCCACAGAGACCCCGCTTACTGCCCTCCTCCCCCAAGGAGGAGAAGCTGGGGACCGAGCTTGAGGACTGACCTGTGGGATGGCACAGAAGTTGAAGACACTCTGGTTGTGGAGGCGTGAGAGGTATTTGAGGACATCAGGAACGTGCTGCAGTGCACCGGTGATCAGATCGTTCATACACTGCAGGGCAGTCTGGAGGTTTGCAGGGCTGGCCAGATCTGACAATGTCTCTGCGTACTTACTCCACACCTGCCACACACCACAGTTATTACCCACAATAATCGTGCTTCAATATAGCACTTCCAACACTATCTCCCTTTCTCTATGGCATCACCCCCACCCTCCCCGTTCATCTTTCACACCATCACCAGGCTAAACTGTACCAACACCCTTGCAGTTAGAAGATACAATTTCACATTTACGTTATGCAAGGATCATATTAAACATTTATACAATGTCTTCCACGTCGGAAGGACATTTCAAAGCATTCGACACTGCTGGCTGGGCACCTAAGGTGGGAGCTCGGAGACAAAAGAGGGATGGGGAAAGGAAAGACATCCAAAATTGAGGACTGACCTGTGGGATGGCGCAGAAATTGAAGAAGCTCTGATTGTGGGAGGTGTGAGAGGTATTTGAGGACATTGGGTAGTCCTCAAAAGGGCGGTACATCTTGAGAGGGGCTTTGAATTCGGGAGGGTGTGAGTTGGAGGGACCCCAGAATGGAGAGGAGGGTCACCTTGGGGCTGAATGGCTCCAAGGTAACATTCTGGGCAACAGAGTCAAGCCTACCCTCTGTGGCCATCTTGGTCTAATGTCTCATCCGATGAATGATGTTCATCGTCCCCAAAGTGGGGTCTTGAACTAATAATTTTCTGACTCAGAGGTTGGAGAGTGAATAAGTGAGTAGCTGAGCTGGGCTGACATATTGTGAAGTGATGGGCTTGCGGAGCTCCTGCGCCCCCCACCCCCACCACCATGCGGAAACGCTCACCTCTCTGGGCCAGAACTCCCGACCCTCTCGCTGGTCCTCCAGGTAGTCTCGGATGATGTTTGTTTTCTGCAGAAACAGCCCCATGGAGTTGGCGAGCGCTGTGTCTTGACCTACAACCTGGTCCTCCAGCTCGGAAGCTGAGAAAAGGCGAGAGAGGCCGATTCCCACCAGACCTGCCACATAGTGACAATACTGCAGACATGGATGTACAGTGTTAGCGACAGGAGGATGCCTCATAGCAATTCACAGAATTCACTGTAAATTGTGGTCACTGTGCATTTTATAGGCAAATGTGGCAGCGAATTTGTACACAACAATGGCCACAAACACCATGAAGTAAACAACCAATTTTATCTGGGGGATTGGCTAGACAAAACTTTTCTTTTTTCAAGGTACCACAAAATCTTTTTAACGTCTACTTGAACAGATAACAATGGGACCTCGATTTAACTTTTCATCCAAAGGACTGAGCCTCTGACAATCAGGTGCACTGCTCTGAAGTGTCAGCCTTGACTGTGAGTTCAAAGTCCTCAACATGGCATTTGACCCCAAAAGCTTCTAACTCAGAGGAGAGCATGTGTGGGCCAGAATACCACTTACTTGTGATAACACATTCCTTATGGCCTTACCGTGTCCCAATCCTTCAGGGAATTTACTTTTTTCTCCAGGAACTGTGCCATTCCCACTCCCATCTTGTGGCAGATGTTTGCAATCACATCCTGGTACACCATGGCCAGATTACGGAATTCCTTTGAAATCTATACCAAACAGGGTTACATTGGTTATAACAACAATCCTCCCTACAATTTGTACAGCGCTTTCTATGTTGGGAGGACATCTCAAAGCACTTTACAGGATTCCCTGTAAACCTCAAGGAGGAGATAGTTCAGGGACAGAACAAATACATTCCACAAAGGGGAAAGGTAGGGCATCCAAACCTCCCTGGAAATTGGGAATAAAATAAAACAGAAAAAGGAGGTTTAAGATAAATGTCAGATCCAAAATACAGACGATAATCTAATAGAATATAGAAAGAACAGAGGAGAATTCATAAAGGAAATAAAAGGGGGTCAAAGAGATTGTGTGAGAGAAAAAAAGCGGGTAACATAAAAGGGAACCCTAAAGCATTTTATAAGCATATAAAGAATAAAAGGTTAGTCAAACGAAGGTGGGTGGGTAATTAGGGACCAAAGTGGAAATCTTTTTGTGGAGGCAGAGGTATGGCTGACGTACTGAATGAGCACTTTGCGTCTGTCTTCACAAAAGAAGAGGATGCAGCCAATGCCATAGTATCGGAGGAGAGGGTAGAGAAATGGATAAGAATAAACTGAGAGGAGGTACTAAAAAGATTGTCGGTGCTCAAGATAAATAAGTCACCTGGTCTGGATGGGATGCATCCTAGGTAACTGTGGAAAGGGTGGAAATAACGGAGGTTCTGGCCACAATCTATCAACAACAACAAGATTCCATTTATAGAGCGCCTTTCAAGTCGGGAGGACATCCCGAGCAGGGGGGAAATGGTCAGGGGGAGGGAAGGGAACGGAGGGGGCGAGGAGGGGGGAAATGGTCAGGGTGGGGGAGGGAAGGGAGGGAGCGAGGAGGGGGAAATGGTCAGGGTGAGGGGAGGGAAGGGAGGGGGCGAGGAGGGGGGAAATGTCAGGGTGAGGGAAGGGAGGGAGCGAGGAGGGGGGAAATGGTCAGGGTGAGGGGAGGGAAGGGAGGGGCGAGGAGGGGGGAAATGTCAGGGTGAGGGAAGGGAGGGAGCGAGGAGGGGGGAAATGGTCAGGGTGAGGGGAGGGAAGGGAGGGAGCGAGGAGGGGGGAATGGTCAGGGTGAGGGAGGGAAGGGAGGGAGCGAGGAGGGGGGAAATGGTGAGGGGAGGGAGGGAGGGAGCGAGGAGGGGGTAGGGAGTCGAGAGGGGAGCTGAAGGCGCGGTCGAAGATAAAGGTCTTGAGACCGCCCTTGAAGGAGGAAAGGGAGGAAGCGGCGAAGGCACTGGGGATAGAGTTCCAGAGCCTCGGGGCTGAGAGGCTGAAGGCCACCGATGGTCAGGCGGTTGGGGCGGGGGATGTGGAGCAGACCGGAGCCCGAGGAACGGAGGGTACGGGCAGGTAGGTAGGGGGATAGTAGGTCGGAGAGGTAGGAGGGAGCGAGGCCGTGAATGGCCTTGTAGGTGAGGATGAGGATCCTCCTTGGACACTGGAGTGATGCCAGAGGACTGGAGGGCTGCAAATATTACTCCCCTGTACAAAAAGGGGCAGAAGGATAAACCCGGGAGCTACAGACCAGTCAGCCTAACGTCAGTAGTGGGGAAACCTCTAGACTATAATCCGAGACAAAATATATTTTCACTTAGACAAAATATGGGTTAATAAAGGACAGTCAACACGATTTGTTAAAGGCAAATCGTGTCTAACAAACCTGATAATTACAGAGAGGGTGGATGAAGGTAGTGCAGTTTACATGAATTTTCAAAAGGAGTTTGATAAATGCCACATAATTGTAAATTAAGCAAAATAGAAGTCCAGCATATCAAATGGGCAGTAGCAGCGGATACAGAACTGTCTGGGAGACAGAACGCAGAGAGTGGTGGTGAATGGTTGTCGTTTTGACTGGAGGGAAGTGTGGAGTGGTGTCTCTCAGGGGTCGGTATTGGGACCACTGCTGTTTGTGATCTATATCAATGACCTGGACTTGGGTATAGGGAGCACAATTTCCAAGTTTGCAGATGATACTAAGCGAGAAAAAGGAGTAACAGTGAGGAGGATAGGAGCAGACAGCAAGGGGACATAGACAGACTGGTCAAATGGGCAGACACGCGGCAGATGAAACTTGATGTGGAGAAATGTAAGTTGATGCATTTTGGGAGGAAGAATGAGGAGAGGCAATATACACTGATGGTACAATCTTAAAGGGTTGAAGGGACAGAGAGACCGGGGGGTCATACAAGTAAATCTTTGAAGGAGGCCGGACAGGAAGATAAAGCTGTTAAAAAAGCGTCCGGGATACGAGGCTTTATAAATAGGGGCATAGAATACACAAGTCAGGAAGTTATGATGAATCTTTATATAAAACACTGGTTAGGCCTCAGCGAGAGACTGGGTTCAGTTCTGGGCCCCACACTTTAGGAAGGATGTCAAGGCCTTGGAGAGGGTGTGAAGGAGATTGACCAGAATGGTACCAGGAATGAGGGGCTTCAGTGATCAGGAGAGGTAGAGAAGCTCGGATTGTTCTCCTTGGAGCAGAGAAGGTTAAGAGGAGACTTAATAGAAGTTTTCAATCTTATGAGGGGATTCGATCGGGTGAACAGGAGAAACTATTCCCACTGGCGGTGGGTCGGTAACCCGAGGGCACAGATTTAAAATAAAATGTTAAAAGAAACAGAGGGGAGGGGAGGAGAAATGTCTTCACACAGCGAGTTGTTGGGATCTGAAAGGCTGGTGGAAGCCGATTCGATAACAACTTTTAAGAGAGGAGATAATTATTTGGGGAGGACAAGTTTGCAGGTCTATGGGGAGAGAGCGGGGGAGTGGGGTTGATCAGGGCTATGGGGAGAGTGTGGGGGAGTGGGGTTGTTCTGGGCTATGGGGAGAGAGCGGGGGAGTGGGGTTGATCAGGGCTATGGGGAGAGAATGGGGGAGTGGGGTAGATCAGGGCTATGGGGAGAGAATGGGGGAGTGGGGTTGATCAGAGCTATTGGGAGAGAATGGGGGAGTGGGATTGAATTGGAAGCTCTTTTCAAAGAGCCGACACAGACACAATGGGCCGAATGGCCTCCTTCTGTGCTGTATAATTCTATGATTCTATGACTGTGTATTTGTGGGTGAACATGGCAGCCAATTTCCACAAGGCAATGTTCAATAAAGAACTATGAAGGAAACGTGCAACGTTAGCTTGAGGATTGTTGGTCATCGCAGTAGCAGAAACTCCCTTCTCTTTTCAAATAGCTGCATAGGATCGTTAACATTCACATGAAAAGACACAGCCCTACGTTTAACGTCTTATCCGAAAGACAGCACCTCAATGTGGCACTCTTCCCAGAACTTCACTGGAGTGTCAATGTGGACTGTGAGCTCAAAGTCACCAACATAAGATCACAAGAACATAAGAAATAGGAGCAGGAGCAAGTCATTCAGCCCCTTGAACCTGCCCCGCTATTATTAAGATTATGGCTGATCTTCTTACCTAATTCCATTTACCCGCCCTATCCCCATATCCTTTAATCTCTTTAGTTTTTAAAAATCTATTGATCTCAGCCTTGAATATGTTCAAGGACTGAGCATCCACAGCCTTCTGAGGTAGAGCAATCCACAAATTCACTACCCTCTGAGTGAAGAAATGTTTCCTCAACTCTGTTCTAAAAGGCTGACCTTTAATCTTGAGACTATGATTTTTTAGATTCTCCAACCAGGGGAAACGGTCTCACGGCAGCTACCCTGACAAGACCCTTAAGAATCTGTTAGGTTTCTATAAGATCACCCCTAATTCTTCTATATTCTAGAGAATATAGGCCTAGTCTACTCAACCTCTCCTCATAGGTCAACCACCTCATCCCAGGAACCAACCTAGTGAATCTACGTTGCGCTCCCTCTAAGGCTATATCCTTTCTTAGATAAGGAGACCAAAACTGCTCACAATATTCCATGTGTGGTCTCACCAAGGCCCTATACAGTTGCAGCAAGACTTCCCTATTCTTGTATTCTGTGCAATAAACTCTAACGTGCTATTAGCCTTTCTAATTGCTTGCTGTTCCTGCATATTAACTTTCTGTGATTGGTACAAGGACACCTGAATCCCTCTGAATTCTAACACTATCTAATCTCTCCCCCTCTCGAAAATAATCTGCTTTTCTATTTTTTCTACCTTGGTGAATAACTTCACACTTCCCCACATTATACTCCAGCTGCCACCTTCTTGCCCACTCACTTAACCTTTCTGTATCCCTGTGCATCCTCCTTGTGTCCTCCTCACAGCTGACTTTCCCACCGAGTTTTGTATCGTCCGTACATTCCATTAATTTAGTACATTAAGCTCTATTTCCTCATCTAAGTCATTGATAAAGACCGTAAACAGTTGCGGTTCAAGCACTGATCCTTGTGGCAGTCCACTCGTCACAACCTACCAATCTGAGAAGGACCCATTTATCCCTACTCTCCGTTTTCTGCCTGTTAACCACTCTTCAATCCACGCTAATTCCATGAGCTCTAATCTTATGTAACAACCTTTTATGTGTCACCTTGTCAAATGCCTTCTAAAAATCCAAATACACTATATCTACTGGATCCCCCCTATCTAACCTGCTAGTTACATCTTCAAAAAACTCTTAAAAGATTTGTTAAACATGATTTCCCTTTTAAAAACCCGTGTTGACTCTGCCTAATCATATTATGACTTTCTAAGTGCCCTACAACCACATCCCTAATTATAGACTCTAGAATTTTCCCTACCACTGATGTCAGGCTAATTATTCTATAGTTCCCCATTTTTTCTCTCCCACTCTACTTAAATAGTGGTGTTAAGTTTGTAACTTTCCAAAGTTTGCAACGTTCCAGAATCAGGAATTTTGGTGGATCAAAAACAAAACATCCACTATCTTTGCAGCCACCTCTTTATAAACCCTGGGATGCAGACCATCAGGTCCAGGGGAGTTATCAGTTTTCAGTCCCATCAATTTCTCTTCGACCGAGCCTTTGGTCTCCCTCCCACCTCTCTGCCTTCCCTCACCCCTACACCAACCCCCCTTCCCCATGCTCGGACC